CATCTTGCTTAAATTTATGCTGATGATGTCATTTAGAAGAACAATGTAAGTTCCATGATCAAACCATCCAGATCAGTGAACAAGACTCCATCAAAATTAAATTCTGTTTTGCTTCAAATGAGATATATTTACAAAATGATCAAGTTGAAATGAATGCTCACATGTAATATATTCTAATGATATAAAAGAATTGACTATCTAAACTAATGATCCTTTAATTGTGAACAAGTAATTAGGTTAATACGTTTTTCAAATATACGTGATTGGTTCGTTCATAAACTATTGTCTCATCCAATAAATAATCCGTTTTGATTGTTAGACGATTTATTGAAAGCTGATTACACATACTTTATTATTATCTTTCATAGAAGAATATATGACTTAATATTGAGTATATAAACACCTATATGTTTAAAAAGTTGATCAAAATAATACATTTCTCTAGTTTAATATACTTCAGGAAGATTTTAGAAGATAAGAAAAGTAAAATTTTAATAGTTTGATTCATGAGTTTATTTAAGCTAGACCACTATTGAATACCCGGAAGTACTGGACGACCGTTTCGTTCTAGTGTAGAGCTTCTCACCAGTGCGTATCCACGATCTCGCACACGAGGTTCATACACAGGACCTTCAGTCTCGTACGCAAACGCTTAATCTCTAACTTAGATCTACTCATGAATTCAATTATTGGAGTTTGGTAAACCCTATTGTGATGATCATCATCATATGTTTACTAGTGACTGTCTTCAAAAGGTATTTCTTGGAGTTCTAGTGAAAATCCGTAACCAGTAAAGTGCAATCCATGTTGAGTAGCGATAGGTATCTATCTCAGTAAAATAGATGAAGTGTCGCGCAAGATCACAGACTGATAGAAGTTAGACATTAACACCATTGAATGCCGGCCTGCTCAGTGGTTTGAAGGTTAAGCATTCACGTGACAGACCGAAGGTCCTGGGTTGGTATCCCATGTGCAGAATCAAAGGACACGCACTGCTGAGAAGTTCTATACTAGAACAAAACAGCTATCCATTGGTTCTAGTTTTTCCATGGTGATCTAGCTTAAATAGACTCATGAATTCAACTATTAAAATTATTACAATCTTCATAAACCCCATTCTGATAATTTAACATTGACAAAAAGGTTTATACACATAAATTTGTATGAAATGTCCATCTTTTAAAGCTTACTAAATAAATTAACTAAATGTTTAGAAAAAAGTGTATAAACTAAATTATTCCATGTAGACATCTCTTCTTTTAAGAAAAAATATTTTTGTCTGACAGAAAAGAGAGACACTACGATACGCACATATATGTATATAGACATAAGCAAAATAGGATGAAATGGAAGTAGACAGTTCAATATAAGTTTCGTATAATTGATAGACACTTTGAAAAGAAAAGATTTCTACATTAGAAGAATCAAAATATATATTTAGAAAAAAATAATAAAAGAAGAATCCATTTTAATTCCGCGAAAAAATGTGTTATAATTTGTTAGATTAAGAAAATGTGTTAAAAATGGTTATATTAACTAAGATGAACCAGTGATGTTAACTGTAAGATTTTAAAAAATGTCAAAGATCCCACTAAATAATGAAAATATTCATGATCTTACTAGTAGCTGATTTTGTGACCTATAACGTTCAAATAAGCAGATTACAATGCAATTACTTACTAATAGACATTGAAAAATTGTTTCGTAATTGTATTATTAGATTGAAGTTAAACATTTAAACCATCGGTTGCTCAACTTGACGAGCTGTGACTGTTCTTTGTTTAACTTCTCAATGGGTTGTGAATGTATACTACTAAAGATTCATATGTAAGGATGGAGCATGTCTTTAGTGCTTGATTACAAAAATTCATTAATCTACTCAAATCTCTTTTTATATTATGTAACAAGATATTAGTCTAGTCTCATGTTCTTCTTATACGGAACGATTTATAATAAGGAAACGTTTTATGTTTCATTTTCATAAAACTTGTCTATAAACTTAAATTGTACTTAATATACCATAAGATGAAAGATAAAATGCAGGTTTTATTAAAAATAAGCCTGAAGGTGTAACAATTTTCAGCTTGCTTTAGCCAAAGAGCTTGATTACGTAATATTAATGAAATTTGTAAAACGGAACTTGAGTTAAATACAATTAAAGGTAATAAACGGTATAGAAGTTGACAAAATTGTTATATTACTGTAGATTATCATATAAGGCGCATCGGTAAAACTGACTTTAATGTTGACGATAAAGACCTGATGATAAGCGATGAATCGACGAATTAGTATAATTAGATAGTTAAATACATAGAACACGTAGAATATCCAAGACAGAGAATTATAGAGGTATTTTAACCTATTGAAGTAAAGTATTCTAGATCTTTTTTGTTTGTAATTAATTCGTTTTCATTAAACAGAGGATCTTCAAGATTACATGGTTTTGATCAACGATAGATATTTACCTGTAAATTCCTCAATGTTTTCCAGTATACGTTTATACTAAATGTGTAATCGTCATTAAAATAAGCTTTAAATCTTCTCCATAGTTAATATTATTTACATATGATCTCTTTTGAATGTATTGTAATCGTTTGCATTGAAAATTGTTAAGTCCCATCATAATGAAAGTAATAGTCAACTTTCATTCGTCAGTATTTGCATAATGATCAAAAGCCAGAGGGTACATGGATTCGAAAAAAAAAATTAATTCACACAGAACCATATTCAATAAGCTCTGAGAATAGCATTTAACAAACTGTTTGAAGAGTAGTAATTTATTTGAAAGTTACTTATAGATTAGGATGATAAAAATGTCATCTTGCTTGCTTAAACTATTAAGATTATAATCTATACAGAGTTACTGCATTTGAAATGAAATATATTTACAGCTATAGAAAAGTACTATTATCTTTCGTTTACTGCCCTCTTTCGGCTTGATGTTAAATGAGTCTTAAGTACTTACGCCTGTTATTCCCAATGGAGTATAGGCCACCGACCAGCATTCTTCAGTTCACTCTGTCCTGTGCCGTTAAATGGAACACAACGGTTAAATGTGAATTTTCATTATTGTTTAACAATCATGCAAGTGAATAAACTCTATATGATAACTGTGTCATAGATTTACTTACTTTCAGTTTAAATGTAAACCATAGAAAGGCTGTGTACCTTATTCATATATTTTCTAAGTAACTTTAAAAAAGATATATTCTAAGAGTGTTTAAGAATACAGCTTCTTGTACTGTAATTGTAAGCAACAGTGTTAATGCAAAGTGATGCAAAACGTTTATTTATTTTTACGAATATTGTATTTTAAGCATAAGTCAGAAACGTTTACTCAACTATTTGTGAGGAGATAGGTTTGCGGGTCATTGATATTATCTATATCCCCTCCCCTTGCACCATACATCTAAGTTACGTAAAGTACGAAATGGACTACCAAAATTAACTTTTCTGTAATATATCATTTACAACATCCACATAAAGGTTTAGAGAGATTAACGCATTAACCTGAAATATATTGCAGAAACATTAGTTATTTATAATTAGAAACTTGATATATGAGAACAGAAACAATCGGTTAATTCCATATCAACCTTGGACATGGATCTGTGATATTTCTGTCATATATGTTTATTAAAGAAGCTATGTATAGTACTCTATAATAATATTATTATTATCTTAATAAAGGATGTATCAACTCAATACTGTTGATGAACATTCATATTACTGGGTCATCGTTTCAAGCTTAAGCCTAATTCTGCTAATTTTTACTCTGATTCCTTCAATAACGATTTATTTCATACACTTTATAAAATTTCCATTTGATAATCAATAGCCTAAAATTATTTAGCAAAGTTTTGATTGTTTTCTTAATTTTTAAGCGAAAACTCATTCAGTTTGTAAATGGACATGATTTAATCTGTAGATTTCAAATAATATTTTATATTGTGGGACTCCTCAGCAATCCGCATCCACTATACGCCTCGCGAGATTCGACCAGTGGAGTTCAACCGGGTCTGTTGTGAGCGTAACTCACTGAAAACAGTGGTGGATGTATCACTTAATTTCGTGGATTAGTTGAAGTTAGACAATAACACCGGCGGATGCCGGTCAGCTCAGTTGTCTAGTAGTTAAGCGTTCGCGCGTGAGATCGACAGGTCCTTGGTTCAAATCTTGCGACGTAGAATAATGGATGCGCACTGTTGATGAGTCTCACAATAGGACTAAACGGCCTTCCAGTGCTTCTAGGTTTTCCATGGTGGTCTAGCTTCAACTGACTCATGATCTCAACTATCAAAATTAATATTCTATATGTTTAGTAAAAAAATATCATTATGATTTCATAAATAAAGCTAAATGATCAGTAATATATCAGTGGTTATAATAACTCTAACGTATGAACCATAGTTATATTGTTGATCATCATTTAGACAAACAGTTTTTCAAAAAGAAATTGATAAAACAATCTAAACCAGTTAACATACTTACCTTACGTGAACTATTTTGTAACATGTCTATTAAAAGAACGCATGTTATCAGCATAAAAGACTGGATTTAGTTGAAGAACTGTTAAAAAACAGGAAAAAATTGCTAACTGATTCATCTGAGCATGGAGCTTCTCAGAAATGAGCACCGACGAATTCGACGTTTAAACTTAAAATATTAGACTCCACAGGGATCATTTTTCATTCATACTAATAAGCTAGTGTCCAATGGTCTAAATTAAGTCATCGATTACCACTGGCTATTTCTCGCTATTGCAAATGGTGATAAAGTTATACTGGTTATCTGAATAAAATCGATTCAAGACATAAACTATGAAATGGATAAATAAAAAAAAAACTGTTTATGCTAATAAAATCTGCACATGAATTTGACATTTTTATGAATAGACTAAAAACTTTGGACTCTCAAAAGACAAGAAATTGGTGATTACAATAGCATATTCTTACATGAAACTATAAAACATGACTAATTTATTATTTTTTTTTGTTTAGGTTCTTCGAGTTCACTGCCATCTTTAGATACTGGAGGTAGTAGTTCAACTGGTGGAGGGTGTAGTAGTGGTCATACACAAACAGCAGATGAAGATCATTCTATTGGTGAAGAATTGAATTCAGCTAATACCACCATTTTACATTCCATTTCCAAAATATCAAAAAATAATAACGAGTGTGATAAACATAGTTCTCAAGTGTTACATTCAGATGAAGCGAAAAATCTTCAGTCAGATAATTTATCATCTGATAAAAATGTGTTAATATTGGTGAGTTTACATTGATTTTGTTCATTGTGATTGTTATGGAACAGTACTGAACTTTTGCATTCTGTAAACACTTCGAAGTACTAATAATGTTATTGATTATATCGGTGATGACGTCGAATTTAAGAGAAAAGCTATCTCACACATTAACTGTGCAATAGTATATGTATTTTGATTAACATAAGATAGATAATAATTACAGTTTCAGAAAAAATCAAACCTTACATTTCAAGTATCACTTCATTGAAGATGAAAACCAAACTACTTTAGGTTAGATTCGAATGAAACAATTGTCACAGTCTTTTTCATTATGTCATCGAGATGGTGGAGAAGATTTATATCTCAAGTGGGTGATGCTGGCAGAGTTTTGTTCTCTGAGCTAGATAATTTAGTCGTGGAGCTTTCAGCGTTCTTCTAAATGATATCATCATCACAAACTTCAAGTGTAAGTCAACTTTCATTGATGATGTCATTTAGAAGAATGATTGAAAGCTCCATGACCATACCATCCAGCTCAAAGAACGAAACTCCACCAAAAAATAAGTCTTCGTTTGTCTATTTTTGAAAATAATATCTTCGAATCTGATTTATGTTCCAAACGGTTCTTGTTATAATATTGAGTGAAAAGTATGATAATAGTGAGTTTGTTTAGTCAACTACTCATATATGTATATATAATAAAGCAAAACAGAGTTAAATATTTGTCAACAGGAATAGATGATCATTGCGCGATAGAGTAAATGATCCAAGTTGAAACTGTATTACAGTGGTTTACTGGAAAACTTGGTAACTCTGAGTTTGATCCCTGGTGAGGTCGTTGGTGTTCACTCTTTGAGTAATTATTCTAAAACTAAACAGATATCAAATGATCTCTGATTTTCAGTGGTGTCTGAACTGAAATCAACATTTACTAATTAAGCCTCTTGAAAAATAAATCAGATAAGCTCAAATTGAGAAAACATAAACTAGAAGTAAATATTTAATTGTTGTAAGAATAACAAATTTGGATGAATAAAAGGGGATTTCCTTTTTATACAAAGATGTATTAATAATGTATGCTTTTTCAAATGCATAAAAAGTATTGAAACAATAATAGTGTCGGTTACTATGTTAAGCTCATATAACTTATTCCAGATCTCCAGTCACACGGTCGAAGAACTTAAAACTTTACCTTGTCTATCTTCTTGGGTATCGACACTGCTTGGGTGTTAAGCAGGACACCAAGATGAGTGATGGTTACGTCACCGAGGAGTTTGTTCAACTTTTCGTCATTGTGGATGGCCAGTTGTAAGTGGCAAGGGATAATACGGGTTTTCTTGTTGTCACAAGCAGCATTACCAGTCACTAGGCACTTGAGAACAGCTTCCAAATAATCAAGGGTACAAGCTTTGACACGTTCTGCGTAGTTACCCGTTGTGAAGGAGACGATGGACACGAACAACTGGGCTGATCGCATCTTGACCTAAGTACGAGACTTCTCAACTTTACCACGTCTACTAATTGTCCATCAGAGAGGAGAAACGTGACTCCAGAAGCTAGAATAAGTTATATGGGCTTAACATAGTAACCGACACTACACAATGATTTGAAATACAACAATATTTTGTTGCTTCAAGTGTTAAATACTAATTTTGTTCCCCTTAATTAAATGTTTATTTCGAATGTTGAAACATGATAGTATGAGGGAGAGGAAGAAGATCAGACTGATCTGACTGGTTTTTTTTTGGAAAACTGAAACATCAGTTTACTTATTGCCCAATAAATTACAAACCATTATAAGTTAATTATGATTTTAAGAGAGAACGACTATCAAAATTATGAATGAAAAATAATTAAGAGTAGTATAATTAAGAGTAGTATCTCAACACTAGTCAGTTATTTCAATTATATATATATATATATATATATATATATATATATATATATATATATATACTAAAAGAATATGCTACAAGGTCTAAGTGAACAGTTTGAAACCTGTGAAAAACGTCATTTGAATCACAATTACTTCCTTGGTATATTATCCATCTTAAAAAATAGCAACTTCATGAGACACTGACACAACATGTTTCTTACATAATTACGTTGAGGGATTAATTAGGAAAGTCACATTTTATCCAAGGGTTCCTTCCAAAATCATTCTGTCTTTTTTATATTGGATTCTATACTACAACATGAGACAAGAATAAAAGTTCCTGTATTGTTAATAGTTGCTGAAATGTAAAATAATAATTCTATGAAATGACTTTATCAAAATTCACTTAGTATTGTTTACTTCGATCTTCTCACTGATGTTTAGGAATGCAATTGATCAGTCCCTTTTTGGCGTTTGTGTAAAGATAGTGGCTAGCAATGGAATCCAATTTGACGTGCGTTTCGTCCTATTTGGGACTCGTCAGCTGAATGTATCTGCATTTCAGAGTTGATATTCATTCTGAGACTCAAACCCAATAAGAGACTGATCATTTGCAGTGCTAAACCTCATTAGGAAGATTCAAGTCAAACAATACCAAGTGAATTAAAACTTCAACCCATCGCACAAGCAAGTGGCTATCAGGACTCAGTAACTAAGTGGATAACTCGATGGTACTTGGTTCGACTTCCAGAGTGAACCTTAACTCTGAAATGCAGATACATCCATCTGACGAGTCCCAAATAGGACGAAACGCGCGTCAAACTGGATTCCATTGCTAGCCACTATCTATCTTCGTTAATAAGCCTTTATCAAAAGTTAAAATAAAAACATCTTGTTACGTACCCTATAAGTATTTTAATTACTCCAACTATACAACTAACTAACATGTCAAATTGTTGTTATTAGTTGAATTATGAGTTTACATTTAGCTATTGTCATTTTTATTGAATTAGTGTCGTTTAATATGAGGAATATGTGAGTACACATTGATTCATTTATTTACATTATTTCTCTTCTTTCTTTTTAGTCGAAAAGGCGACATGCTGTCAAAGAACTTATTCATGTGGAAAAAGAATATGTAAATGCATTAACTACTCTAGTCAATGTAGGTTATCATTTATAGATTTACCATGTATTTTATAAATGTAGTTAAATATTTAATCAGTAAAGTTAACCATAGATACGTGTATTACAAAATTGTATATACACCTATCATACAAACACCAATATAACAACAATACGTTGTTCCTAGAAATTAAGATAAACAAGTATTTCGTTTTTTTGCATTGGTTGCTTGAATTTTCCTATTGATGTTTAGGACTACAATTGATCAGTATGCTAATAAGAGATTAATCATTTCCAGTTCTAAACAATAATGGGAAGATTCAAGCAACCAATACAAATATAAATTACACTTCATTTCATTGCACAAGCTAGTGGTTATTTGAACTCAGTAACTAAGTGGATAACGTGATGGCGTTTGAAGTGAACAGAACTAGGTTCAATTCTCCGAGTGAACATCAATTCTGGGATACAGGTACATCTATCTAACTAGTGCCAAATAGGATAAAACGCGCATCTTAGATCTCATTGTTAGCCACCATAATTTTAATCATCCACTTTTCTCCAATCTATATAAATGTAACTATTCATTGTACATTTTATTTTATTGATCCAATCACTATATAGTATATGGAATTTATTGATTAAATGTTAAATAGTTGGTAATTATCAGTTCATAAATTCTGTTCAGTATAATTTATGCCTTGGTAATCTACAAAATTCAATACGAATTTATATAACTAAATATTATGATCGTAGATATGGTAATGAACAAGAACATAATTGGGGACAATCAACACAAAATTTCAAAACCATACAGAGTAACTTTTTTATTTTCAAAATATTATTCAATTATCACAAACTTGATTAATTCTTCTTTTTTACACTAATCATTCTTTATTCTCATTCTTTTCTCTTTAATCTTTTTCACTTTCTACTATTAGATATTTCCTTTTTAATAGATGATATATACTACTTATATTAACCGACATTAATAGTATATACTATAATATTACCATTAAAACTTATAAGTTGGAACATTGATAAAGGTTCATTTTGATTGATTTGAAATAACTAAATGATACGATCTTCAATTTGAAAACTTCCTAATAAATACTCAGTTCAAATAAAGATTAAAAATAGAAATGAAAAGTAAATTTATTTCTTACTAGTTTATGATATAATTGAATTGTTTTAGATTGAGATCATGAACCGATTGATGTTAGACCACCAATCGAAAACCTAGAAGCACTGGACGGCCGTTTCGTCGTATTGTAGGACTTCTCAACAGTGCGTATCCACGATCCTGCTCGTGGGATGCGAACCCAGGGCCTTTTAGTCTCAATCAAAAACTTGACAATCTCCACAACACCTAGATTGTGAATTGTTTTAGTCACATGAATATTGTTTTTAAGGTTACATTGAAACAAATTCAATAACCGGTTAGTATAGTTAATTATTACTATAAATATGTATACTTTAATTTTGACATTCATATTAGTTATGTAATAATTTCATTTGTCTTAGTCAATAATTTCAAAGAGAAATGTTCATGAATAATTAGAGTTTTACTGTTATAGTTTGTACATATTTGTACATAATAGCAACAACAACAACAACAACAACGAAAAAAAGAGAAAAACACAACAACTTTGTAATATAACAGAATTGTGAACGTATAAATTGTATGTTGTATAGTCATATATATATATATATATATATATATATATATATATATATATATATGAATGCATGCGAACATTTACTACTACATTAAAGCATAAATATATATATAGGAATGTATAAAGGTGCATATTTCTTTTTCATTCCAATGAAATATATATAAACACACAATGAAAAGAACTTTTTCTTCTTCTTCTTCTTTCTTTACCTGCACTCTGATGTACATCCAATTTATTGATTGTATCCTTGTTTCTTTTTTTTCCATTCTTTTTTTTCGTTTTTTCTTCCTGTTTGCAATAAAATAATCGAACAAATTAGAAGAAAACTTTTCATAAAATCAATAATCACCAAGTATATTATTCTAATGTTTTCATGTTATTTAATTTTTCCTTTATAGTATAATGGAAAAAGTGAATTATAGTTTATATTAATCATGAATAAATCGTTCAATAGTTTTAAGTGATTATTTATGAATTGTTAAGTTTTTATCTTTATTTTAAGATCAATAATAATCAAACTTTAACAGTACATTCCTTTAAACGAATGTAGAAGAATGGGAATTACTTTTTTTTGTGGTTAACGTTTATTTTTTGAGAGTTAGTTTATTACGGGATTGGGTCGTTAACCCCATACACAACTCTCCTCTTTTACCCGTGATGTGGATCGGCAGTAACTCTAGAAGAGCTACAAGAAAAAAATCAAGATCCTTAAATATAACACGAAGAACATCAAGCCAATCATATTTGATGGAGAGACTCTGAAAAGTGTGGAATCATTCATGTGCCTGAGAAGCATCATCGATGAACAAGGAGGATCAGATACCGACGTACAGGTGAAGATCGGCAGAGCAAGGGACGCATTCCTACAATTGAAGAACATATGGAACTCAAAACAACTGTCTGTCAACCAATATCAAAGTCACAATTTTCAATACGAACGTCAAGATAGTATTATTGTAGGGGATCTGAAACTTGGAGAACTACTACAACCATCATCAGGAAGGTACAAGTATTTATGAGTAGTTGTATACGCAAGATACTTAACGTGCATTGACCGGATACCACCAGCAACAGCGTTCTGTGGGAGAGGACAAACCAGCTTCCATCCGAAGAAGAAATTAGGACAATACGATGGAAATCAATAGGACGTATATTACGTAAATCATCAAACTGCATCACGAGACAAGCTATAACTAAGCTTCTCTGAACTTCAGGTAGAAGTTTGTTCTGATGATGTTATTCAGAAGAAAGATGAAAGTTTCATGACAAAACCATTCAGCTAAAAGAATAAAACTTTATTAAAATAATCTACTTGTGCTATAAATTTTCTCTACTATTTCACTAACGATGGCTTCACAATTATATTTCTTTTCATGTAATGGATCGAGATACTTCATTTGACAATGTGATTGTTTTAGATAAGATTATTTTTCAAAATTCTTATTGATGTAACCAAATACAAGTGGAATGGGTTAAATTGGGTTTCCCATCAACTTATTATTATATGTAATAAAAATGATTTTAATTTAATAGTGTTTCATTTGGGGGGGGGCGCGATATGGAAACTCATTTCTAATCGTTGGATTTTTTTTCGTACAAACACGCGAAAAACTAATAATGTTTGTTCTTACTAGTGCTTTACTTCAAAATGAATTAAGCCAAGATGATATAGAGCCTGTCTAACAAAGAGCGTAATTTAGTGTAAGAAAGGCAATTTATCAAAAACAGTAATGTAATCCCTGTATTTTGACTAAGTGCCTAAATGAGATTATGCTTTCAAGAACAGCTCAACTTTATTTCCTATCTTGTGCATCAACTGTTAAAAAGTGTATTCTTTTCAATGAATTTCTCATCAGGGACTTTACAATTATCTCATATCCAAATTAATAATCCATAAAATTGGTCAAGTTTCATGCAGAGTACATGATTTAACATGGTAACATGTGAATCAAGAATTGTTGTTTGTTATATAAAATAAAACCAAATCGTTAACATTAGGGCTGACTAATATGAAGTGTTAACTTGAATCAGTTTCTAAGTGAACTAAAATTGTGATATAAATGATCAGAATAAATATGGTTAACATCGGGTAAGAGAGAGAAAAATATAATTACAAATCAGAAATTACGTAATATGTAGAGTAATACGAATTAGGTCAGATATAGCAGATAGGGGTGGATGCTGAATACATTTCTCAAAAATGTTGGCAAGTGTAATAATCATAATAATAATGACAATGGTAAGATGTGCAAATAAGATAAATTTGGATAAGAACTTTCGTAGAATAGTTTCGCAGTATTTGGAGGCCGAGTTGGTGTGAAACATTAAAGAAGAAGAATATATTTGTGAAAATCTCAGCGAATGGATTTGAAGTAAATCCAATGTTTCACCTAGTAATCTAGTTCAAACTTTTTTAAAGAAATATAATCAAGCATCAAAATTATCGAATAATAAGTATTCAATATGATTATATTTCTTTGAAAAAGCTTGAAGCAGATTGCCAGGTGAAATGTTGGATTTGCTTCAAATTTCATTCGCTGAGATTTCCCCAAATACATTCTTCCGCTTTAAGATAAATTTGGGATATAAAAATGAACATTAATCAAATTACGTCATCACATTATAAAATTGATTAGTAACTAGTTGAACCCGATGCTGACTAGAGTAAAAGGAATGGTTGAATATATTTCTTTTGGATGCAAAGTCCTGGTGTTTTTTTCTATCCGGATAGCAATTGTTTCAAACGTCTACAGGATTCTCAGTCTGACGAAATTAGGTAGACTGTTGTTAACATGATATTATTATTGTGAAATATAGCTCCACGTTAAATGTATGTCCCATTTGAATGAAATGAACTAATATGGAGTAGTTAACCATTTTAACTATACACCTTTACTTAACCACACAGTAGAAGGTGGTCAAAAGCTCGAATATACACATTCCTAAAACATTTACGAATATAACTTGTTCAGAAGTGTACAACAATGATAAAGTAACATTTACATTGTTTCTATGTAAACTGATTTCTTTTCAGATATTTATTCACCTTAAAATTTGTTTACGACATTGTAATTATTATTTCTGAAATTGGTTTTTCTATTCAACTACTACGGAAATTGAAAATTGATGGTTAAATGTTTCTGCACAGTAGGGTGTCAATGAATAATTCATGTATATCAATATTAAACAAAAAAAAATTTCGTCAACAATTTCCTGTAAACATATTACATCATAAAGAAAAAACAATTAAAAAAAATATCAGAAAGGGTTTTTGTGGAGATTTTAGTAATTTTAGTAGTTGAAATCATGAGTCCATTGAAGCTAGACCACCATGGAAAACCTGGAAGCACTGGACGGCTGTTTTATCCTAGCGCTCGCGCGCGAGACTGATAAGTTCTGAGTTCGAATGTCGCCTGGGGGCAGAATCGTGGATGCGCACTGCTGACAAGTCCCATACTAGGACGAAACGGCCGTACAGTGTTCCCAGGTTTTCCATGGTGGTCTAGCTTCAATTGACTCATGATTTCAACCAGTGAAAATTAATAAAAAGCATTAATACAATATCCACCCCCCTATTCTAATAAATTTTTTTCACCAATGTTTGTTAAATAAAACTGTTGTTATATTCACATTATGTCAATTACTTGAGTTAAATTATCATTATGAGATATTTGTATAAGAGAAATCTAAAAGTCAGTCATCCTATTGTATATAATTTATAGAATAAATATTAAACATATCTATCAATTGAAATAGTTAAATACTGGAAATGTGTTTTTTATTTGGGCATCAAAGATTTTTCTTCAATAATCTACTGTTTCAGTAGTGATTGAATATGTAATGGCTTAATCTAATACCTAATTGTATGAAGCTTCACATTTTGTTTATTTTTAGTATTATGTAATCATGTGTTAATTTTCTGTTTCCTGATAGTTGAATTCATGAATCGATGTAAGTTGGACGACCATTGAAAACTTGTGTTAAGTCCTGATAAGAATAATGAATGGTAACTTTTGGGATCCATTTATGGATCAATAATTATACGATAAAAATATACGCATATTATTGGTCCATAAATGGATCCCAAAAGTTATCATTCATTATGCTTATCGGGACCTAACAACCTGGATGTTCTAGATGGCCGTTTCTTCTTAGCTTTCGTTTAGCTTACATTGATTTATGAATATAATTATTAAAAAAATTATTACAAGTTCTACAAACCCCATTCTGATTATATTTTGTTTTACTTTCCTGATGTATTTCTATCTCTGGCTTTGTGAAAATATTGACACTAATTAATAGTTAGAATAAAACATTTAAAAATGAACTAAAAATATATGTTGACCGGTTTTGATGACTTCATACTTATTTACGCCAGTTACTCCCAATGGACCATAGGCCGCCAAACAGCATTTTCCAACCCACTCTGTCCTTGGCCTTCTTTTCTTGTTCCATCCGATTCTTGTTCATTTTTCTCATGTCTATTACCATTCCTCAGCGTAATGTGTTCTTTGGTCTTGATCTTTTCCTCTAGCCTTGAGGATTCCATGTGAGGGCTTGTCTTGTAACGCATTTGGGTGCTTTCCTCAATGTGTGTTCTATCCACTTCCAGTACCTCTTCTTGATTTCTTTTTCCGCTGAGATCTGGTTCGTTCTCTCCCATAGTAGGTTGTTACTGTCTGATAGTGTCTGGCCAACGGATCCGAAGTATTTTGTGTAGACAACTGTTAATGAACACTTGTATCTTCTGGATGATAGGTTTCATCGTTGTCCAAGTTTCTGCCCCGTACAGTACAACTTTCTTGACATTTATATTGAAAATCCTGACCTTGATATTGGCTAACAATTGTTTGGAGTTCCAGATGTTCTTCCGTTGTAAATATGCTGCTCTTGCTCTCTCTAAAAAAACGCTAACCAGAAAATTGATGACTTCATGTTTATCTTAATTGTCAACTGAACTTGAAATAAAGAAGAAGAGAAACAATCATGTTAGTTTTACAATAATTTCATCATTGAGAACATATTAATCAAATACGTTCATTTGTTCACAAGATCTGACTCCAATTTGATCGTGTGAATGATTGTTATTAATATACATATGTTGCCTATCCTTGTATATAATCATCGACTTAAATCACGTTAGTCAATAACGGAATTAAGCAAGTCAAATAACGAAAATGGACTTTTGAATACATATATTTTTATATATAAATTGAATGCAATAGAGCGAAACGAAACGACGATTAGTGGGGATGGAGGGTAAGCTAACTCCATTTAACCAAGTGTTAATAAATATTTATAGTTACACACAGATATGTGATGAATAGGATAAGAAATGTACACATACATATGCGCTCATATAAAAACAGTAATGATTAGTAAGCGGATAATTAACAAAGTCAAAATGTGACTCAAGTAAAATGAATAGATTGACCTGTTCAAAAGCTAGAATACAGTATATGGGTTTAACATAATTAACCAACACTACATCAAATATAATGAAAAGAGTAGAAATGCAAATGGATTTTACATTGAATTCATGCAAACGAATGTTGTTTTATGTTTTAGAATAAAAATTGAACAGTTACCCAACAATATTATGCCTTTAAGTTGATAATTAAAAGAGATGAATATATATGTATTCTTCTTATTTCTATACTATCAATGGAACTTATCTGAAACATTACAGTGATTAACTGTATTTTAAAAGTTTGATTATATGTTATTTGACTAATTGGTAACGCATAGAATTTCTTTAATAAGTGTCAATAATTTTACTAAGTTATTCTAATGACCAAGTTTAATAATCTAAAACCATGTATATTCCACATGTATATCAATTTCACGTACTTAATCGATCATATCATAAATGAGACTGATATAATTTGTTTTAAGTCATAGATAAAATGATATGAATTGTTTGTTAGATGAAAGGAGGCCGTTAAAAGGCAACCCTATTTCTAGATTTAATGATAGGTAAGATTCGCCATCATGGTTTATCCGAAATCTTGAAGGATGTGTGCCACATTCTAAAATTAAAGATTAATTACGCTACACTGTTTCCTAAACTGAAATAAACGTACAATAGTTCGAATATCAGAATTTTTGCTTGACACTCAGGTGTCTCAACCACAATGCCATACCTATAATCTAGATGACATTGATGCTTCCTGAAGGGAGCAACACTTTATGTAATAACGCCTCATATTGTAAGACTATGTGACTAGGGTTTGAATTCTTTAAAAAATATATACTCTCTGAAGTTTTCAGGTATGACTTTTTGATGAATGTCAGACAGCATGAATTGTAGGTCTAGATTTCTTCACATATCACTTAGCATTAAAACATACTGCATATGACATTGTTTCACTTGATTGGGGGTCATTTTGTAACTTTATTGATAGAATTCGATCAGAACTAAAGAATGAGATGAAAATGACAATGGTAATTACTCGATAATTGATTGCCATTATAGATTGTTATTGATACTAATACTGCTAAGGGATATGAGTTAGTTAAATAAACGAGACACAAGGCAAAACAACAAATGAACAATAATTATTTACGAAAAGTCAAAGAAAAGAATGATCTATGATTTATTATTAGGATGAACTGTTTACACAATATTAATCATTATAAGACATTCGGATGCAGTAATAAACTAACAAGACTTTAGTAAGTGCTATTTTAGTTCAGCAGTTTTCTGATTGGATAGGATATTTTATTATCAACAATTGGTAATTCAGCGAAACATTGAGGTTGTTAGGCAGTTAGATGTATGCTGTTCTAGGTACTATTTATAATTACTATCAATAATATTCAATATAAGTATATTCTTTACATATTCTTGTTTTTTTTCTTCTCTTAATTAGATGTACATGATACCTTTGAAGCAAGAAAAAATTTTAGATGATCAACAAGTGGATACCATATTTTTTAAAGTGCAAGAATTACTCATGTATCATATGAGTTTTTTAAATACACTTCAAATGTGGGAATTAACAAATACAGTTGGAGATAAGTTGCTTGATATGGTAATGTTTATATTAAAATTACTTAGCAAACTTTTTAATATATAAGATCTAAGGTGGTTAGATACAGAGATGTAGGCGATTTTAGGTTAGTTTTGTCACATATTCAATGTTTGATTGGGAGTCTGTTGTGAGATATCAGCTCACTGAAGACAATGGTGACGGTGGCGCAACTTCGTGGATTGGTTGAAGTTAGACACTAACACAGTTGGATACCGGTTCATTGGTCTAGTTGGTTAAGCGCCTGGCGCGAGACTGGTGGGTCCTGGGTTCGAATCCCGCGGGGGGCGCGATCGTGGATGTACACTGCTGAGGAGTCCCATAATAGGATGGAACGGCCGTCCAATGCTTCCAGGTTTTCCATGGTGGTCTAGCTTCAATTGATTCATTATTTCAACTATTGAAGTTGTTAAGAAGCATGAAGTACTATGTTGTTACACATTTATATCATGAGTATAAACTCGTCAATGTAGTATCCACCTCTAGGGTTCTAAAGATTGATATGTGCTCATTACAAAGTATCAGAAATCGAGGCGGATCTATTGACTTATTTATCATGATTTCAATTATTTTTTGTAGTGTGTCTTCATAATTTGAATTATTTTCTAATATTCGGAGAAAAACTGAAAGCGAGGAAAAATGAACACTATAAATTGAAAGAAAAAGGTCTTATTATTAGTAGGCCCTTGAGTGTTTTATTAATGAATGTTTCATATATCTATACTTCAATCACTAAATTAGTCAAAGAATGTATTACTGAGTTATAGTGAGAAGAATCACCATCTGCATGTGATATTTAAAAGCATTTGAATCATTATACGAAATAGGTATCCTATAAAATAACGTAATTTACTTCAAGTAGAATAAGATGATCACAAACGAACGTATTTTATTTGGAATTCAAAATCAGATACACATCAAGTACAAAGGAATCATTAGTTCATACAAACTTCATACCGACGTCAGCTGTTTTTCTACCACTTTATGAATCTTTTGCAATGTTACGACATGATTTGCATATAATTATATATTTTATTTTCTCTGAATTAAGGACCGATAGGTCCTGGATTCGAATTTTGAGCGAAGCAGGATGGTGGATAAGCATTTCTGAGGAGTCCTATACTAGGACAGAACGGTCGTCCAGCGCTTTGAGATTTTCCATTATAGTCTAGGTTCAAATGACTCATGAACTCAAGTAATAAATTACTATACTATCCACAAAACCCCTTTCTGACAATCTATAATTATTATAGAATTAACTTGCTAAACAATAAATCACTATTTATAATAAGTAAATGTAAACAAATGCACCTTTTTATCAAAGTTATTTTCAACGTGATAGGACATTGAAACCAAAAAATAAACAATAATGAAAATAAACAAACTTAGGAAATTATGTTTGAATAAATATTATTCTTATCAGTAGGGGGTTTTATGGCGATTTTAGTATTTTTATAGTTGAATTCATGGGTTAGTTGAAGGTAGACCACGTGGAATTGGTTGAAGTTAGACATTAACACCGTTTTATGCCGGTTCAGTAGTCTAGAGGTTAAGCGTTCGCGCGCAAGACTAATAGATCATAGGTTTGAATCTCACGCGGGGGCGGGATCTTAGATGCACATTACTGAGGAATCCCATACTAGGACGAAGTAGCCGTCCAGTTCTTTCAGGTTTTTCATGGTTACCTAGCTTCAATTAACTCATGAATTCAACTATGAAAAGATTATTCCATAAAATAAATAAAATGTGAAGATTTCATAATTTTCTCTGTTTTCTTTAAATACTGAAAACATTCTCTCTTTTTTTTTTTCTACTTCCAGTTTTCACGTGAAGCAGTTGCAATGTGCTATTGTACATTTGTAGATAATTTTTCCAATTCTGAAAGAACTCTAGAAACATGCTGGAATACAAAATCATCATTTCAGAAATTTTGTGAAGTAAGCTTATATTTGGATTAGTTGATTGCATTATTATTATTATTATTATCACTTTTAAGAATTGAGCTGCTTCAGAAAATGATAACTATGTATTGAAGAAAAGTTATTTCAATCAATTGCCTAAGTTGTTTTCTAAAGTCAAACGAAAATTAGATGTAAAAATCTTGACGAAGTACTATGTCAACTGAATAACATAGTTATGCAACAATATAAGGCGAGGGATTTAATAGAAAGAAAATGAAACCTTATGATATACTGGGTATCTATCATGTGAAATATTATTGTCAGAAGAAACGGCCGTCCAGTGCTTCCATGTTTTCCATGGTGGTTAACCTTCAACTGACTCATGATCTTAATCATTGAAAACAACATCATAGCTCTTCACTATTTAGTTTTTGATGCGAAATTCTGATATAAGTTAGATCACCATTGAAAATCTGAAAGCACTGGATGCACGTTTTATCCTAGCGTGGAATTATTCCACATCGAGCATTCACGATCATGAACACAAGACCTTTGGTTTTATGCAAGTATACTTAGCCTCTACACCACTGAGCTGGTATAGAACAGTGTTAATATTTAGCCTCATTCAATTAAATAAAATTTAGCACTCTGAAACAAAATTTGGAAATATTTATTTTAAGGTCACATAAATAGCTCTATGTTTGTATCTTCATACCTTTAATTCTAATTGACATATATCTGAACTTTAATAATGATTCCTAGAGGATAATCATATTCTATCAAACAAATGTGTTTCAGGCATCAGTTAAATGATACAATCCATTAAATGATGCGGTGAAACTATAATTTATAGACGACTTTTGAGTGACGCCGAAGTGATTTTGAGAATGCTTACCTACTTAATATGGCCAAATGAAGATTATAAAGCAGTTTGAGGAATAAAGATAATAATTTACAGTTGATGGTAAGGGTAAGGATTTAGATTTATGCTTTTCATCACGAATTGACATTAGCTAAAATACCAAGACGCTATTTGGTCAAATGGGTGAGTGAAAATCTCACCAAAATCCAAGACCTATTATCCTAAATCTCATTGGTTCGTCAATCAATTATAGTCACGCCAACGATGCTTACATACAAGTTTGTTTGCATTCACAGAAATTATATATTAACAGAAATACAGTGTATGTGTGTGTGTGTGTGAATCATGTCCTCTGATTCCCTTATTGTTAGTAACTTATTCATATTCCACATAAAATCATATAGTTTTGACAATGTCATCCTAACAGAGAACAAATAGTCACAAGGTTTTCTAAATATGATTTACCATGTTTAACTATTTGAAGTACAGTTGTATATTGAAACCTTAAAAAAAATGATGTAGTTATAAATTATCGAAGCTTAACAGTTCAAGTAACTGTTAAGTAATGTTACATCACTATCTGTTAATTGAACAAGGATTTTGGAATCGTGTATTACATTAACAATATTGTTCTTTAAATGATTCACATAATATCACATTCAAACAAATGAAGATGGAAACGAGTTTTGACAGAGATTTTTCTAATGTTTTCAGTGAAAAGCATGAAGTTTAAGTATCTTAGGAATTAAAAGAAATGCATTTGGATCATTGTTTACAGTTTACGATGCAAAATTAGTATTACTTGGAACAATAATGTAAAGTAATATAGAGGCTGTTAAATTTAATGTTTCACATCACTGACTAGTTTAAAGCAATAAGATGTTGGAAACCAGGGAGCATTGGACAGCTATGAAGTTCTAGTATGGAACTTCTTAGATGTATACACCCATGACTTCATATGAGATAGAAACTAGGATCTTTAGGCTCAGTAGTAAGTGCTTGACCTTCAGATCATTGAGTTGAAATCTAATCTTTTAGATTTCCTAATTTAAACGATTTGCTATATTGCATTACTATCATTGATCACTACTGTTGATATATGTCTCATATGGTCGTTATTGGAATTCTAAGAAACATTTCTCGAAGTTAGTGACTGTTTTTATGAGCTGTTGTAAAGAATACCGATCACAAGGTTTTATATCACGGATTGGTTTAGATTTAACAACTAATAGAAACAAGGATGAATTACTTTAGCAATCCCAATATATCAAAAGAATTGAAGAATGTATGCCAAAGCAATCTAAAGAAATGATTATCAAAATATGTCAGTTATCTATTGACTAGTTACCACCCAGTATATCTTTGCAAAGAAATAAAGAATTATTATATTTATATGTCAATATAATCCATAAATGAGCTATATATTCCACTATTGTGATGGACTAAGTAAATCACAGGAATTCAATATGATAACACAAGACAATTATAATAGAAACAGTGTAGTCAATTTTCATTTTAAGAGCGCTTATGTAAGTACGACTCAACAGATACGTTAAAATTGGGATTATAACTATAAATATAAAATCGTACAGTTGTATAATCTAATTTCAAAGTACAATTAATGCTAACATAAATTTGGTATACAGAAAAACTAATAGTCCATAGGGTTATATTTGAAGTGCAGTATTGAGATCATTTTTCAGTAGTAAATAAAAAGGCAAATCAAGAACAATAAAAGAAATATTGGATGACATTTAAGTTAAAACGTACATTTATACCTAAAGTTTGTGCTGCTGATGATGATCGTACAGAAGAACGGTGAAAGCTCTATGATCAAACCATTCAACTGCATCAAAATTATCCACCTGAACTATAAGTCTTCACCATGTCACTTAAAAGCTTGTTTTTCTAGTGAAGACGATGTTGATAATATTTTAAATTAGTAAAATATGTATTAAAAACAGAATGCCTAGGGATTATGCTTGATTTTTTTCCGGTAATCTTTTGAGAGTATCTAGTATTCTTATAAATGAGTCAACTGAAGAGTAGATTAGTCAGTGTAAGAGTCTGTATGTCACAGAAAGTTTGTTAGTTCTTTTGTACTCAACTTCTATGTCATTTGAGTTGTCTTGATCTGGTAGGAAAACCATATAAGTTGTTTTGTTTGTTCTTGTCATCTTATAATCATTAATCTCCATCAATCACAGATGTGGATAGTAATGTTTCCGCCAGTAACAAATTATAACAAGTGATTTTTGTAATTTTAGTAAAAATCGATGGTAAGTTGTCACTAATCACACCCGGGTGTGAGATCATTACCTATCAAAGACATAAGTAACTCATTGATCAAACTTGACAATAGAATGAGATTAGAAAAACAAGTTATCGAATGTCTGATTAGTGGTTTATATGTTGAGTACTCTTTTTGAATTAAAACATTTGACGGCTCATTAGTCAACAATAATACGCAATCCCATACTAGAATAAAATATCTATATAGGAATTCCTAGCTTTCACTGATAGTTCAATTGAAATAAATTCATGATGTAAACCATCTAAAGTCTTACATAACAATTACTCAAGCATCTCAGTCTGTTAACTATGTTATATGCTGCTGTATGTAATACCTAATCATCAGTCTTAAATTAAACATTTTATACAAGTTAAATGGTGAACTGTTTGAGTCATCCTAAAATTTGTTTGAATAATTACTTAGCTGGACATTTTGAAAAACTCGACTCACCTATGCTTAATCAGTTTTGATTAAAAACATATACTGCTTTTGATTAGTTTAACAATTTGATCGTAGTGAGCAAGAACCCGATTGGGGACAATCAAGTGTATTTGAACACATAATTACTGAATCTCTTGGTAATATCTGAGATCTATACATTAAATACTTCATTCGTAAAATGTTAATCAAGTGTCTCAGACTTAATGGTTCTTTTGTTCCCATAGCAATCATTCTTTGCTATCGTTCTTTTCTCGTAGAACTTTTTAACCTTCTGCCATCAGGCATTTCGCTTTCGATTGATGATACATACCATTTATATCTGTCAATATCAGTAGTATACACCATATAATGATTTGAGTTTTCTCTATCATTTTGAACAAGAAGTAGGCACTCAGTTCAAAGAATACAATGCTATCATGATCAATTCATTTGAGCTGTAACATGTCTCCAACATTTAGAATATATATGTTAATACATTGAGTTCTGAAAAAAATTATGTTTCTCAAATTTTCTATTAGTCGATTCTCCTGAATGTAAACGGCACGTTTTTTTCTTTTGACATAAGAATTCAACGTTTAAAGAAAAAAAAACATGATAATGTATTATGGATCAACATAACTGTGAATCACTCAGTGGTGTTTATTTTCTGTCCGCCTGGGGCCCCTCTAGGGCAATTGCCGGTCCCATGCCCGGAAAAACGAAGGAGAGTTGGGCATGGGGTTACCGACCCCATCCCGTATAAAACTAACTCGCTAAAAAAATAATGCTAACCATCTATTTTCCTACGGTATTATATTGCTAAAGTTAGGGGAAAACTACTTTTTTTAATTCTTAAGAATATAATTTTCCTAAGATAACAACTTTATGTGTTATAATTCACATCCAGACAACGTACACATGTATATTTGTGGATTATATAGATGATTTGTGTGGGAAAAACTAGAAATAGTTTAGTTAAATGTGACACTTTTAATCTTTGTTTAGGCAATCTCTACTATACCTGTAATATTCAGTTTACCACATATTTCCTTTTTTTTACATTATATGACACCATATTCACTGTTCCACTATTTGTGTTGTTGTTTATACTGGCAATAGTAAATTAGTTAGAGATGTTCAGTCAAAACAAAAAAGCAAACTAATTTATGAGAGTTCGTAACTTTACGTTGTAGATAATCAACCTGTTTTTGAATAGATCTATTCTAAGCGGATCATTTGGTGACAAGATTTAGTAATTGTTTGGATTCAATAGTTAAGTAAATAAAACTTTGGGTGCTTAAAGTGATAGATACTAAATTCAAGTGACAGTGTAAACATCTACACTGTGATATAGGTACTAAGCTGAAAGAAACGTGCGTACTAAACTGCAGTATTAGTTACTATTCAACATTACTGGAAAAATTCAACTTTTGATGTCATTTCTAATAACTCAGTTGGCAATGAAGAATAATTAACTTTTAGTTTAACCAAAACGTACGTTTAATACTGACCTTTTGCTTTGTGTAAACTCTAAAAATTATGCTCAAAAAAAACATTATTTCAAATACGTCTAACAAAGGACTTGAACTGTTTGGACGGCGAGTATTTGTATCTATTAGCTTTGATATTATCACTTGACAAAACAGTCAACATTGCGTCAATGTAGGTTAAGTCTGTTTTATCTTACATATTATAGATTGTTGATCAGTTACACAAGCTGATTGAAGAGATTGGAAATTCTTCTAAGATAACCTCAACTTAAATTGGATTATAAAGGAACTGATCTATTTATAGCTACTTCTACTAATATACTTGAGAACATAATTGATTCGGTCGTGATGTTTATATAAACTTTACGCCAAACATTTTAAACTAATATTCACTTACTCAAAACAAAACTGTAAATAATAACATTTCCTACAAATTTCGTATATTATAAATTAACTATTCAATATATTTTAATAGTTGAGATCATGAGTCAATTGAAGCTAGACCACCATGGAAAACCTGGAAGCACTGGACGGCCGTTTCTCCCTATTGTGGGACTCCTCAGTAGTGCGCATCCATGAAACGGCCGTCCACTGTTTTCAGGTTTTCCATAGTGGTCTAGCTTCAATTGACTAATGATCTCAACTATTGAAATAAATTTCGTAAAATCTTAAATAAAATGTTCGTCACTATACTTGTATGAAATGCCTAAATTAAGATTGATAAATAGTTATTGTATATGATAGTAGATAATGTCTAATTACAGTAAAGGAAGACCAACAGGCTGAATTGAATGGAGCATTGTCTACACTTTGGGCTAACAATTACCTCGAAGAGATTTTAAAGAAAATTATTAGAAATGATAGAGAAAAACTAAATCAGAATGTATATGAAAGAATGTAAGACTATCGTGGTCATCCCATACCATAAAGACACATCAGTAGAAATTAGGAGCATTCTAAACAAATATGGTATAAGAGTTTATTTTCGGGCTAGTGACACCATCAGATCAGCATTATTGAAAGCTGAAGATAAGTCTCCTGAAGAAGAACAACAGAATACTGTCTATAAAATCAACTGTCAGGATTGTAATGCAGCATATATGAGAGAAACTTCAAAACAATTGAATATGAGGTTGAAGGAATACAAACAATGTTTGAAAATTGTTCCTTAGTCCGCGGTTGATCTGAAGAAACTTAAGAATAGATCTGTCATAGCGTTAAATGAGTTAGAAACAGGGCACAAGATCATTTTCGAAGGGTCCAAAATACTACAGAAAAAATTTACTGAATATAAAGGAAGATTGGTGGCAGACTTTTTATGGTTGATATCATAAATTTACCTCAATTCGACTATCAGTGAAAACTAGAAATTGTTGTATAGATATCACGTTTCATTATGGGACTACTTATTAGTGTCAATTAATGAGCCATCAAATGTTTTAACTTAGAAAGTATGCATCATTGAAACTTATCAAAGGTAGTCATTACATTAAACAAATACCATATTCTCCCGATTGGTAGATGTTGTTTTTATATACAGAATCTTTCTACACATTCAATCTGATAACATGCATCAATAAGTTAATAATGCATATTCATTTCGATGTGATAGGACAAGAAAGTCAAGACGCATTAAGAATATATGAGAAGATACAAGTTTATCTACATGAGACTATATTGTTAATGTGGTACATTTCGGTGTACAAAATATTCTCTTATCATGCTTATTACTGAAAATCAGAATTATTTTTATATTTCTAATTATTAGATGAAGTTAAGAATGAATCGAAATAAACTTCCATTGAAAGCGCTTCTTGTACAACCTGTTCAACGGATACCCCGATATGAGTTACTTATTAAGGTAAGTTTATATTTATACTAGTTACCTGATATTAAATATAAATCAATATTTAAAAATATACCCTTGAAACAATAAATTAATATTTTTAAAAGTATAATAATAAATCATATATCTAGTTTATATAGTTACTATATGGAAGTACCATAGTTTAATATCGAGTTACTAACCAATTAATTACTATCACGTTTGTTTAAATACAGCAAGTATAAGGTACAAATATGTACAGTTAATAAGACCAAAACATTAAGCGAAACATCATGTGGATAGTGTGAAAACTATTTCATATCATCAGCTTAAGGGTTTGACAAACAGCCTAGTTTTTATAAATTGAATATTTTACATCTATGACTATGTTGTAAAACATGCATACAGCTATCAGATTTTTAATAAGCACTAGTAATCATAAATATTTTATACAATCGTATAAGCTCGATTTGTATAACATCAGCGTATGTGAGAGAGATTATGATGCCTGAAATCATGAGGAATATGTGACACGCAATAGTACATACCAAAACTAAAGTGAAGCACGTAATGATATAAAGATCACAAACCGATCTAATTTAGATAACCACTGGAAGCCTAAAAATTATGGACAGCCCTTCTATGCTAGAGTTGGACTCCTCAGCTTCTAGTAATAATGACCCTACCGAGGATAAAACCATAGACCTCTTGACTACTGCACTAGGATTTCAATGATGTCCATCAGTTTAATACGGTTGAACATCGCTTGTCACATGTTCTTATTGAAACTCAGTTTTGCAACTAACCAAGAAACAACTTTGTCATAATTCAACAAGGGGAAGATTAAAATATATGTATAAACAATGACCGTACATGCGTAAAGAACATTCAATGAACCGCGTTATCGATAAAGTAAATTTTCGGTGACTTTGACCATACATTTAATATTCTGCTTCTTCTACAATTCGGAGCTGGCGTTGTTTTCCAGAAAAATAATAAGTTTCAAGATTAAACTACTTATAAGCAGAGATAAATAGTGGCTAGCGATGGAACCCAGTTTGACGCGCGTTTCGTCCTATTTTGGACTCATCAGCTGGATGTATCTGCATCTCAGAGTTGAGGTTCATTCTGGAACTCGAACCAAATACCATCAAGTTATCCACTTAGTTACTCAGTCCTCATAGCCACTTGCTTGTGCAATGGGGTGAGGTTTTAATTCACTTGGTATTGTTATACTTGAATCTTCCTAATGAGGTTTAGGATTGTAAATGATCAGTCTCTTATTGGGTTTAAGTCTCAGAATGAATATCAACTCTGAAATGCAGATACATCCAGCTGGCGAGTCCCAAATAGGACGAAACGCGCGTCAAATTTGATTCCATTGCTAACCACCATTCATCTTTGTTTATAATGCTTGTAAGTTAAAACAATATCGAAGCAAGGCGCACAGTATGCACATATGTTAATAAGGGACTGATTGATCGCAATGCTAAACATCAATGAGAAGATTCAAGTAAACAATACCAAGTGAATTTAAATTACTTGGTTCAATGAGCTCAACTTTATGATAATAGATTTAGGGATATCATTAAACTAATAAATACTATGTCACATTTGCTTGAATGATAGTTACTGTAGAATAATTGTGACTCGTCGAATAAATGGATGATTAATTAATTGCTCAAAAAAAGTATAAAGTTCACTTATCAGGGTTATAGGTCAACATTAAAGATGTATATTCGGGAAGATTTGAAATTTTGTATTATATACTCGTAACAATGCTAAATTAATAAAATACTCTTTTTGAATAAGCCATTTGAACTTGAGACGAAAAGTTCCAGCTACCTCTAATATATAATTCTAGAAGAATACAGTATCTTGGTGAATTTATGTATATTCTTGTAGAATTATGGTCTATTTCGTTATTAGTATTGCTCCAATAATAGGCCTAATCTTGAAAGTTATATCATTGCCGACGCTGACTCATCGTATCATAACAATTACCAATATATGATGGAGAACACATTCGGGCTGGAGATAGAACAATATATATATATATATATATATATATATATATATATATATATATATATATATATATAATATGAGACGGACAGGTCCTGGGTTCGAACACCGCAATGCAGAGTCGTGGATGCGCACTGCTAAGGAGTTCCACAATAGGACGAACTGGCCGTTCAGTGCTTCCAGGTTTTCCATGCTGGTCTAACTCCAATGGACTTATGACCTCAACTATTGAAATTACTACGATGTCCACCAAGCTCCCTCCTGATAAAAGCAAGTTATGCAGAACAACCACGCCTGTGTGGCTGAACTATGCCATTCGATTGCATATAATTGAATTCATTCTTCCCGCCTCTTCCATAGTTGCGTTTTACTCCGCGTTAAATGTTGAATAGCTAATTTCCAAGTTGTCTCGTATTCAGCTTTGAGGATTGTTTGGTTAGGGCCCAATGCCACTATATTCTATATACGATGATATATATCTGATACAATATAATGAAAAAATTTAAGAAGCTGATTCATACATTTTCTTAATCTAATTTATTACCATGGAGCCAAATTAGTGTTTTTGTATAGTAGTAGTATATTTATGAAGCTTTTATTGTTTTTGTTTTGTTTTTCATCTAAATAACCATGTCAATATAAACTATCTGATGTAATAACTAAAGTGTTAGAAGTGTTATTACAATTACTTAACAGCTTGTCCATTTATTACTGTTGTTAACATCTGTCTTATCACTATCAGAAAATTAATTATGATTGTCTTCTCATTTAATTTAGTTCCTTTAGTTTATAATGTTTGTATTCTATTTACAAATTGGTTCCATACATCTGTTAATTACTGATTAATGTACATGTCAAACTTCTAGAATGTTTTTGGTTTTCTAAGCTTATTCATTTGCTTCACTTAACAACCAACCTGAATAGCGTCAATAATCTGTTTGAAATGTTTTTCACATATGGTAGTATTGTGGTGTGTGCTACTTATGTAGACATAAGTAGTATATGACGTGAGCACTGAACAGAATGTCTGGCGGCAGATAGATAAGAAGATCGAACAATAAAGAATGAAGACAAAAGGCAATTTGTATAAAAATGCAAGAACAAGGGGATTCTGAGTGATTTGAGACAAGTGATGAACAATTTACAAATTACCGATTCAATATATGGTTGTTTGATTTTACTAACTAGTTCTGTAAATTGTTGTTAAATATATTTGGATTGTCCCCATTGGTGTTTTATTCACTACAGTATAATTTGTTTGATTATTTGTTTATTTGATTTTTTTCTTATTGGTCAATAATTTCTGATGGAAATTACATGAATAACTGTACTTTTGAGAAGGAGTCATAAAGTTGCTTACTTACTTACTTATGTCTGTTACACCTCGTGGAGGAGCATAGGCCAACCACCGGCATTCTCTATCCAACACTGTACTGAACAATACTTTCTAGTTCTTTTAAGTTATTCATCCTTTTCATATGTACTTACATTTCCCGACATAATGTGTTCTTTGGCCTTCCTCTTTTTTGCTTCTCTTGACGAATTCAAGTTAGTGCTTGACTCGTGATGCAGTTTGATGATTTGCGTAATGTATGTCCTATTTATTTCCATCGTATTTTCCTAATTTCTTGTTCGGCTGGAAGCTGGTTTGTCCTCTCACACAGAATGCTGTGGCTGGCGGTATCCGGCCAATGCACGTTGAGTATCTTGCGTATACAACTATTTATAAATACCTGTACCTTCTTGATGATGATTGTAGTAGTTCTCCAGGTTTCATCTTCGTACAGTAGAACTGTCTTGACGTTCGTATTGAAAATTGTGACTTTGATATTGGTTGACAGACAGTTGTTTTGAGTCCCATGTGTTCTTCAATTATAGGGAATCATAAGATACTATTCTTCATTTCTCCATTTGAAATATACACGCTACTGAATCTTTGCTCTTTTGAACAATGTATGTAATGAGTTATTTTGTGAGTTATCAGCTTGTTATTATTACAGTTAAGAAAATGATCTAGATGAAGTAACTCCCGGTTATCCTGTATTTATTTCAAACTGATTCCTATCCCAATGTTGATTTTACATCAATTTTTTGCATTGATATTCAACCGTAATTACTGTTCTGCTATCTTATTTTGACAATAATGAGTATTTCGTCCAAATATGGGTCCAAACATTTGGAACCATACCTATATAATAAACTGGATTTTAGTGATTCCACAGATACTCCTATCATTATTCAATCAACAATATGCAGTTTTAATCATAGATTGATGATTTTTAATAAACACTGAAGCTTTGTTCCCATTAAAAGAAGGGAAACTAACCACCTTAAAATCACTGCTATCTATCTAAATCAATGTCTTTCAAATGAGCTTTTAATTCTAGATAGTTTTTCTACATCAATAAATACTATTCTTGTAATCAAATATCTATATTTCTTTACATTATTTGTTTAGCGTTTATTAGAATCGACTCCTAAAGACTATTCAGATCATGCATTGCTTGTTGAAGCAGAAAGTGCTATACATCGATTGGCTTTAAGAGTGAATGCTGTACATGCTGCTGGTGAAGATGAAAATATTGTAGATGGTATTCGATTAATTGAAAAACTTTTAGCACCTGCTGTAAGTAAAATTAAAACTTTCATTTTTATATTTGACTTTAATTTTATGTACATAATTGATTGATACTACGAATGGGTCGATGTTAGACCATCATTGAAGACTTCGACGGTCAGTTAGTCCTAGTATTGGACTCCTCAACAGTGCGCACTCACGATCCCTCACGTGTGATTCGAACCCAAGAACCTAGCACTTGAGCGCAAACTCTTAACCTCCAGACAACTGAGCCGACATTCAATGGTGTTAAAGTCTAACTTCAACTAATCCAAGCTATGCAGTGCTTCTATGTTTTCAATGGTGATCTAACATTGATCAATTCATGATCTCAATCAAAACCTCTAGAATCTCCATAATACCATACTGTTGTTTCCTGTTAGTTTGAATCTTGTATGAACTTATTCCTTTTAACGTTTAAACATCAGATCAAAGTAAAAAAGTTCAGTATGTTCACAAGAGCTTTGATGTAGGGATTGGTTTTGTATCTTGGTGAAGAATTTAGTTCAACCACATAAATTGTAATTATTCAAAATATGAGAGTTAATGTCAACTCTTTTGCAAAACTGCAATGACAGAGACGGTATGAATGTTGTATTTACATTAAACCTGTTACATTCTTATCGTCACAAACATCCTTATAGCTCATTGATGATTGCAGGTTTTGAAGACAACTTTTCAATATTAAAATTAATGTAACCTGGAATTTATCATCACAAGTTAGGATAAATTAAATCAAAGGAATCAAAACGAGGTGATAAACAGTAAGCATAACTTAGTTTTTTAAACAAAAATATGCTATTTGAAGCATATATGGGTAGTGACCAGCAGTGGAATACAGGATGTGCGTTTCGTCCTATTTTTGACTCATCAGTTTCCTCACATATTGACGTATTATAAAGTCATAAAATGTTGAATTGAACCGTAATATTACGTTCTGATTGTAGTGGCTTGGCTTTGAAATAATTCCTTAAGCTTCATTTATCAACCATCCTGATAACCGTTGCTAAATAAATTCAAACGGTTTAAACATTCAGAAGGTAATAAGAATCTGCGATTACAGTTTATTATTGGATAGTGTTGATAACAATGTTACTAGCACATCGAGAAAATTTGAGCATAAAGGCTAATGTGTGCGAGCAAGCGAATACAGATGCGAACTCAGAGTCAAATCGAGGTGAAGCAAAACAAGGCAAGTATATATAAAGTAAAGAGGATGATTCATTCAGCAATATGTGCGTAGACTTTAACACGTAATCAAGCTTACACGTTTATACAGACATGAGAGTGATCGTAACAAAACAAAGAAATAGAGATATTGTTACTTTTCGAATAACAAACTTAGTTCTAGAAGAGTTGCTATAAGACCACCATATTGATTCTTTCATGCTTATAATGATAAATTTATTTATTTTAACTAAACACATAAATATTGGTGGAAGAGAGCACCAAATATATATATGCGCCACACAAAACAATGAGAGTGGGAAGAGAAAAAAGAAGGTAAGGTGCGCATAAGAAAAACAAGAACAATAACGACCACAGATTAGTGTAAGGTAGTGTAATAGTAATAATAACAATAATAATGGGGGAAATGGAAAGGTACAACCAGAAGAATTCTTTCAGTTAAGGAAGACACAACCACTTTTTATAAAGAAAGTAAAAGAAGGTTAAAGCAGGACCGCCAATGGCCTCTATTCTGAGCCATATCTGATAACGTCTCTAGCCACTCTGTTGCACCATCTCTCGGACCCCAGGCAGGGAGTCGTGAAGGACCAACAGAAGCTAGCCCTTTTCAGCTTTCTTTCATGCCACGAGACCATGTCATATACCGACCATCTCTCCGCCTTTTCCAACCAGTCCCAGAGTCGGCAAATAATGCACGACGTGTAATTTTCTGGGACGACATTCGTAGAACATGTCCGAGCCACCGAAGTCGGTGTTTTGAGATAGTGACACCAATTGGATTGTCGTCTCTGTGCCCGAACACACGATTTCGAACTTCTGCAATACCAACACGATGTTGTCACTGGATGTAAGCAATGCTTCGGAGACAGCGATGATCAGACACAGAGTCGTCTAACATCCTCAACTCGGAGAAGCCAGGTTTCACAAGCATAGAGCAAAACTGCTCTCACCGACGCGTTGTAGATCCGACCTTTTACAGCCAGACTAACATCACAAAGACGCCAAAGATCGCTCACATTGGCATAAGCCGCTCTAGCTTTCACTATACGTGCATTGATCTCATCACTCACGCCACCACCAGCACTTATACAGCTACATAGATACACGAACTTCTCGACTACTTCTAACTGCTGACCATCCAGGGTGAGTAAAGGATTAGCATCCTGCCAGTGTTGTAGAAGTACTTTGCACTTCAAAGGTGAAGAACACATACCGTACCTACGGACACTGATTGCCAACTGATTAAGTGCGGATTGCATGGCTTGGGCATTCTCGCACAGTAAGACAATATCATCCGCATACTCAAGGTTGAGAAGTCTATCTCCAGACAGCAGATCCACACCACCATTACTTACATCCACCAGATCTGTTTCCAGAATGTCATCGATGGCAAAGTTGAAGAGGAATGGTGAGATTGGGCAACCCTGCTCAACTCCACTGCTTGAATAGAATAGTGAAGAAAGGTGATTGTATGCCCTCACTCTGCCTGAGGTGTTTGTATATAGGGCTTTTAGGATGTTAATAAAATTCTCAGGCACACCCTTCTTCAATAGACAATCCCAGAGAACAGTTCTGTCCAACGAATCGAAGGCAGCCCTGATATCAAGAAACACTACGATTGTTGGCCTTCGATAAGTATGGCGGTGTTCTAACACTTGGCGGAGGGTGAAGATATGATCAATACATCCTCGACCAGAACAAAACCCAGCCTGCTCCTCGCGAGTCAATCCTTCTCGGGTTTTGAACAACCTACGAAGTATGACGGAAGCCAATAGCTTGGACGCAATCGGAAGTGGACTTATCCCCCGATAGTTGTTACAGGAACGACGTGAACCCTTTCTAAAGATAGGGACAACTATCGACTCATTCCATGACGTAAGTACACTCTCTAGTTCCCAGACCTTTGTTAACAACGTCGTCAGTCCCTTAGTCAGAAAGTCACCACCATCTTTAAAAAAAGCCGGAGGTAAGTCATCTTGGCCCGGTGATTTGTAGCGTTTCAAGAGTTGGAGTACCTTGCGGACTTCCGCCTCATTTGGTGGATCAGTCGTCACCGACCATGGAGGGCAGGACAGTCTGACCGATGTTGCCGGAGCAGTAGGCCAGTTGAACTGCCCTTCGAAAAATTCTGCCCATCGTCCAAGGCGTCGATGGATGTTAGTGATTGGCGTTCCGTCATCCTCGCAGATTGTTTCGCTCATACCAGACTTCTTGCTGCCAGTGGCTTGGATGATTTGGAAGGACTTCCTGTAAAGACCAGATGCAGTTGCTGCTTCCAGCTCATTATCACGCTCCAGCCACCAGGCTTCTCGGTCCTTACGCAAGCTTTGCCTGATTTCATCACGTAACAGCCTTCGTTTGTGGTCAAACTCACGTTCACCCGGAGTTGACTGACGGGTCTTAATAAATTTTAAAGAGCCTGAAGAAACCCAGTGCGAAGCCGCAAGCGTCTTTGCTCGCTGTTTTCATGGAGTCATGAAGTTGCAACCAACTTGCTGACATCATTTCTTTGGTGGCGGTCACTTCGTTGGCCACTGAAAAGTAAGGTAAGATTGGCTCAGACCAGAGCATGATCAGAGTCCAGATAGATACTCCAAAAGGAGCGGCAGTCTTGTAAACAACCACGCCAGCGGCAGCTGATCGCGATGTGATCAATCTGAGTCCAGGCTTGAGATGCAGAGGGAGTACGCCAGGCGGCACATCAGCAATGACTGTGCTGAAAGTTAGTGTTAGCCAGAAACAGGTTGTGATCTGTGCACAGTTGCAGTTGAGACCAAAAAGTCCCCATCGGCCCCCTTAACGATTCTCTCCTGTGCCTAGACTCTCGACCTGAGCATTCAAGTCTCCGGCTAGTACTGCAATATCTGTCGAACTCACTTTCTGGAGAAGAACAGTTCACTGGTGGTTGAATTCATCCTTGATTGAATCCTAGCTGCAATCTGTCGAGGCATAGGCGGAGATGACGAAAAGACATCGTTTCTCACGCCGATTTCTTCTCACTTTGATGGAAGTTTATAATCTAACAGCACATAACCGACTGTTAATAGGGATCCAATCGATTAGTGCTGCCTCAGCTCTAGCGCTTAGTGCGACACCAACACCAGCAATACCAGACGAAGATACCACAGAGTCCCCGGATAAACGCACGCAAAACAAGTTTTTTGAAGTGACAGATGGAGAGCAAATTTGTAGTACTTCACCAGAGTCTTGAATACGGGTCTCGGATAGACAACAAACATCGATATTATGACATTCCGAAGACATAGCCAGCCCTATTTGTTGTCCGATCTGCTGGAGTGTGTGAACGTTGAAGGCAACCAGTTTGAATGGTGCACGTGGTTTCAGAAAAACTGCTTTAATATTCATATTTGGTGGTAGCATGCAATTTTCAACCAGGCAGTGACTCGAGAACGTTTAAAAATAGAGCCGAGTTTCCACCATAGGCGAGATGCTGTATAAGTCGAAATAGATACATAAAGTGGGAATAAAAGATTGAATAAGTGACTTGGTAAATAATAATAATAATAATGTGAACTGTTTGACTGTTAATCGAAGCAAGAATAGTATTTTCCGTAAGTATCGTCATTTCATTCTGTTTGTGTGTGGGCTGTGATACTGCCCAGGTGCCCAGACAGAAGCAGGTGGTTTCCTTAGGGGGCCACACCCCTGGTCTTTGACCTAAGAGTCTGATCCACAAGGCAGTGCAGCATCGTAAGAAGATGCAGTCCCATGGTAACCGGTGACCAACGATTGGTTCATACCCCATTTGTTCCCTCAGGATACTGGAGCCCATGTGCACCATTGATTTGGGATCCGGTTAAAGCGCCTGGCATTCGCTTTTTGTCCTCTTTTTTTCGTAAACAACAGTAATGCCACGAGAAGGCAGTGAGTAGGACTTCCCTGGCAGAGTGTGTATGAGCATGGCCATGCGAGAGCATTTCGAGAGGAGGGCGGGCCCACCCCAGTCTCGGCCATACCAGGGCATTTGGGGGCTATAATAATAAATGGTTGGTAACGTTGAAAGATATGTAGGTATCATTACCAAGGTTTGATTTGATAATTTCGAATAAATTGAGCATTGGGTTGATTGTTATAAATAAATAATATATTTGTAATATCCCAATGAGTAGAAAATTAGATTTTCTGACGTTTCGTGGCTTAGTGTAAGTCACTTCTTCAGAGAATAAATAACCAAATTAAATTTAATCCAAGTTTAAATAGTACAACGGCTCAGAATGAATCACAATGAGACAGAGGCCTTCCATCTTTGTCTTCCTTTCAATCACATATTTTAAGTTTTTCTTTGAGCCATTCTTTCTGCCTTCTTGAGTTATATTGTATGTACCTGTCACTACCTGCTACTTCTAACATTGTGATATATTTCTCAAAAATTTCATCTTATTGTTTTGAAATAGCGTTATAATCTGACCAGGTATACAAATATGCCAGTGTAACTGTTGGTTATGATTGACTATTATCATATCACATCTGATGTTCATTATGATATCACTTGACCATTGCAATAAGAAGAATTTATTTTTATTCAAGATGAATGAAAATATTGTATTTGATTGAGATCATGAACCGATTGATGTTAGACCACCATTGAGAACCTGACAGCACCGTTGGATGCCGGCTCAATGGTCTAGAGGTTAGGTGTTCGCGCACGAGACTGAGGTACCTGGGTTCGAATCCTTCAAGTGGGATCGTGGATGCGCACTGGTGAGGAGTCACACAATAGGACGAAACGGCCGTTCAATGCTTCCAAGTTTTCAATGGTGGTCTAACATCGATCGATTCATGATCTCAATCAAAAACGAAATAATATCCACAACCCGTACTGAAAATATTGTAGAAATATTTTTGTACTGGCTACAATAAAAAGTGACAATTTTCCAGTGTTTCAACCAACTTTCTAATTTTTTTTTCATATTTAAACTTTTTCAGACTTTAACACCAACGCGTCAGTACGTTCGACATGATATTGTTTCAGTTGAGGTAAGTTTAAGTATAGTGGAAAAGATTTGTAGTTCAGGTGGATGATTCTTTTTGATGGAAGTTTGTTCTTTGAGCTGGATGGTTTTGTCGTAGAGCTTTCATCGTTCTTCTGGACAACATCATCAGCACAAACTTCTATCTAACTTCTATCTGAAGTTTGTGCTGATGATGTCATTCAGAAGAACTATAAAGGCTCCGCGAACAAACCATCTAGCTCAGAGAACAAAACTTCATAAAATTTTAAGTATGTTTATCAATTATTGTGAGAAAATAATTTTGTTATCAAGCACTATTAAACTGGATAATTCAGATATTATGTATATTTCACTAACATTCATTTGTTAGTACTGACAAGGAGTTTACTTTCAATTTTCTTTTTCGTGTTGGTATTCCCCTATAATCGGAAATATGTATATGTGTATATTTAGAACTGAATGAATGATATGTTAATCCAACTTCGAAAGATCGAATTTTATTACTATTATTATGGGTGGCTTTATTCAATATTATATTTTTGGTACCGTGTAGAATTCTCAGAAAAAAGTAATTCAATGGTTGAAATCATGCGTCAGTTAGAGCTAGACCGCCACTGAAAACCTGGAAGCACTGGACATCAGAAATTTCGTGGATTGGTTGAGGTTAGACATTAATACCATTGGATAACGGCTCCGTGGTCTAATGGTTAAGTGTTCGTGCACGAGATCGAAGGCCGTGGATTCGAATCTTGCGGGGGGGATTGTGGATGCCCACTACTGAGGAGTCCCGCAATAGAACGAAACGGCCGTCCAGTGCTTCCAGGTTTTCCACTGTGATCTAGCTTCAATTGATTCACGATTTCAACCATTGGACTTACTAAAATCTCCACAAAACCCTTTCTGATAAAAAGTATTTCAACAAGTTTGCTTTTCTTATTTCTTGATCGACCTCTGCGATAAATCTTGATTAGTCGCCAATTAGATGTTAGCAGTTCAGCAATCGACATCTGATTAATGCTTATTCTTTTCGATGCATATTTCCAGCAATCACGATGTCTGTGATTTGGCTCTTTTATATCTTGAACTGTGAAATATCGTAAACTTTTCACAAACGCACCTGAATAGGTTATGTGATTAATAAACATAATGATGTGTTACAACAAACAAGAAAACAGATGACTTACTGAAATATCCAGATGGCAGGAACAGCTAGCCCAGATATTCAAGCAGGCCGCCTTGGATAATAATTTTTAAAAATCAACATACACAATAAGTAAACAATTGTCTAGTTTTTTAAAGAAAAATAGAATATGAATGTAAGAATTTATGATGGATGGAGATGTTTGAGTAGTTTACAGACTAATAGAATACTTTACGTACTATCGAATTTGTCTTAATTGATCTCAGGGATAAGCCGAATCATTAAACGTACTTAAGAAATGGGTAATGTTTTTTTTACTAATTCAACTAATTTGAATAATTGCGATTGAATGGAATTCATCGCTCAACATCAACTTCATTGACTAGGAGAAATAATTTGATGGCGTGGACAGGACAACACTGTGGAAGCTTCTTCGATACTACGCCGTACCTGAGAAGATAGTCAATATCATACGGAATTCCTATGATGAATTAAACTGCAAAATCATGCATGGAGAACAGCTCACAGACTCGTTCGAGGTTGATTGCTCCCACCCTTTCTCTTTCTCCTGGTGATCAGCTGGATCACTAAGAGGTCAACTTCTGAGGGGAGGCACAAGATACAGCGGACATCTAGGATGCAGTTGGATGATCTGACTCTTCTATCGCACACGCAACAACAAACACAGGAGAAGATTACCGGTGTAGCAGCAACCTCAGCAGAAGTAGGTCTCAACTTACACAAAGGAAAAAGCAAGATTCTCCGATGCAATACAGCATGCATTGATCGGATCACACTTGACGGAGAGGCTTTGGAACATGTAAAAACCTTTACATATCTGGGCAGCCTCATTGATGAACATGTTGGATCTGCTGCAGATGTGAAGGCGCTGATCGACAAAGGAACAGTAGCATATCTACAATTGAATAACATCTGGAACTGAAAACAACATTCAACCAACACCATAGTCAGAGTTTTTAATGAGAATATCAAGACAGTTCTCCTGTATGGAGTGGAAACTTGGACAACTACGAAAGCCATCATCCAGAACATACAAGTGGTTATTAACAATTGTCTGCTCAAAACACTCCGGATCCGTTGGCCAGACACTATCAGACACTGACAACCAACTTTGGGAGAGAACAAACCAGATTTCAACGGAGAAAGAGATCATGAAGAGGCACTGGAAGTGGATAGGACACAGATTGAGGAAAACAACCAACCAAGGAAAGCCCTCACATGAACTCCTCAATGCCAAAACAAATCGAGAAGACCAAAGGACACAATACGCCGAGGAATGGTAATAGACATGAGAAAAAGAACAAAAATTGGACAGAACTGGAAAGGAAGGCCCAGAACAGAATGGTTTGGGGAATTCTGGTCGGCGGCCTATGCGCCATCGGGAGTAACAGGCGTAAGTAAGTAAGTAAGTAAGTAAGTAAGTAAGTAAGTAAGTAAGTAAGTAAGTAAGTAAGTAAGTAAGTAAGTAAGTAATTCAACTGATTGTTAAAGACTTTTCACGTTAATTAAGTCAGTTAAGTATAAAGGATAATTTCAAAGATTATTCCAACAACCTTTTTCCAATCACGTTTAGAAAACTGCCTATAAAACCACTTAAAAGTTTCTATGAGAATCTAGACACTCAGAATGAGCGCACGAGTAGTCTACAGTTGATAGCACGCTAACCTTCTCTAGTGGATATTTCATAAACAGACTTAATTAATAAATGCAAGGATATTGATTAAGTAATCTCCCTTTCTTTCTACAATCTAGGAACGAAAAGATCCTGTATGCATATTTATGTTCACAGATCAAATTGTTTTCACAGTTGCAAGACGCAGAGGAAGTCAAGTGATCAAGAAACCGATATTTCTTCGTTTGTAGGTCACATTGTATTTTATGTTGTCTCATTACTATTGTAATGTTCTGAAAACAAAATTATATTTAGTGTAATTTAGTTGCTATCTCACATCACTTTAATGTAACTCAGTGTATAATAAGTTCTTATCAAATAAATGTGCATTGTATACAATTAAAGTTCTCACAGTTATCACATGATTTAAGGTTAATGGGTCGATTTCCCGGTGAGTTAGTAAATGTCTACTCCTGAAAAGTTTCACAATAGGATGAAACAGCTATCTAGAGCTTTCGATTCTCACGGATTTTTAAATCAAGTTCAGGGTCTGATACAAGCCATAATTAAATGTGATAAGCTGATGAATATGAAAACGAATCCAGAAACATTTACTTTCTAAAACTGGTTACTCATAACTTCCACACTGTTATTAATATCCTAAGACCATAAAACTATGTATGGGCTTATATTTGACTACATATATTTCTCAAAGTACTGTTGAAAAATACATTTTGACAGATAAAATACTACTTAACTTCACTTGGTATTGTTTGCTTGAATCTTCCCAATTTTGTTTAGGACTGCAGTTGATCAGTCACTTAATGGTATATGGGCATACTGTGCGTTTTGCATTGATATTGTTTTAATTCACAAGCATTATAAGCAAAGATGGATGGTGGCTAGTAGTGGAATCCAGGACGTGCGTTTCGTCTTATTTGGGACTTGTCAGTTAGGTGTGACTGAGTCGCAGAATTGATGTTCACTCCGGGATCCGAACCCAGTACCGTTCTCTTCAAACGCCATCACGTTATCTTCTAAGTTACTAAGTCCTGATAGCCATCTGCTTGTGCATTACGATGAAGTTTAAACTCACGAATCCCAAATAAGACGAAATGTGCGTAGTGGATTTCATCGCTAGCTACCATCCATTTTTACTTATACTACTTAACTATTTCAATTGTGTTAAAATGTTGTACTCTACAGGTGATTCATGAACTTCAATTATTTGGTTCAAAAGTAAATCATAAAATTTCATTTCATGAACTTATATTCATTAAACAATTGCTAACTGTAACCATTTCATGATATAAACCATCAAATTTAACATTCTACAAAATGCTCTACAATAAAAAGGCTGTTAAGTTTTGAACCTAATACATTTCATTTCGAACGAAAATTATTTTGTACACTGAAGTACTGAGTTCGAATAGCCACTGACATGTTTAGCATAGTTGATTGTTGTATCCTTATTAAAATAAGAGTTTGAGTTGTTGCACCATTGATGGTCATATCAAGGCAATCATGTTAAGATTCTTATATCCCAAATAAATTAATTCAAGTGCACTCTCTAATATTAACAACGAGAGGAATAATAATATTTTGAGAAATACAATGAAAAGTAACAATATAATTCTTTCTGACTGTTATCTGACAAAACAAATGACTATTAGCAGTACAGGGTTGTGGAGATTGTTAGGCTTTTTAATTTAAGTCATGAATCGATTGATGTTAGACCATCATTGAAAACCTGAATGTACTGGATGGCCATTTTGTCTTAGTAAGAAACTCCTAATCAGTGCGCATCTACGATCCCGCTTTCGGGATTCAAACCCAAGATCTTCAATCTCATTTTCAAAGACTCAATCTATAGACCACTGAGCTTTTATCTAACATTGTTAACGTCTAACTTGAACCAATTCACCATTATTAATTTTGTATTTCAACAATAAGACATTACATAACTTGACTAATAACATAAAAATGATTTAGTTCAAACATTTAACAACATTTTCTTTTCTAAAATAAATTTACTGATTACTTTTTTGATAGAGAAGAGCATCAATGAAATGCTACCCTAATTCTATTCGTTTATAATTTTCTTTAAAATTAAAGGCAGTCTATTCGTGGAGTTGATGCAATTGAAAATATTAAATATAAAATCTATCATCGATTAGGCATTGAAGCTATAGAACTTGAATCACGTGAGTTGATATACATTTGACCGAACTATATTATGATTATTCTAATGTAAATGTTTATTTGATCATTAAGTACATCATATGACATAGTGACTTGATTTGTGACCAGCAATATAATTATAAACACTTGTTTCATCTTCTTTCATATTGTTCATTTTGGTTTATCTGCATTATTCAGATTGAAATTCCAATCTAGAACATTCAGTTCAAATGATAACGTATTATTCTATGATAAATTGAGCTTAAACAGCTTCTCAGCTATCTGAAGGGTTTGAAAATGTTTGTAAGTGTCTTCTAACCGTTGGATGCCGGTTCAGTGGTCTAGTGGTTAAGTGCTTGCGCGCGAAACCAGTAGGTCATGGGTTCGAATCTCGCACTGCTGGGTCCCACAATAGGACGAAACGGCCATCCAGTGCTTCCAGGTTTTCCATGGTGGTCTAGCTTCAACTGACTCATGATCTTAACGATTATTATCAAACTATTAACACAAAGTAAGAAATTTTTTAAAAAAAAGAACATAACTTCAAAAAGTACTATAAACAGGTGATTTTTTAAATAATCCCCCCCTCCAAAAGTCATTTAGTTAAACGAATTTCTTAGGATTTTACCTCTCCCATACTTTAAATCTTACACTACTAATGGTAATGATAATAATCTAGAAGTGGCTTATTTACTATATCAAACTACATCATAAATGTGAATTTATGCGCCTTTTAATATATATAAAGGAATAAATTACCACAGAGTGAAGTGTTGACAGGTATTGTTTATTGCTTGCAAATGATACATTTTACATACACTTTATCAATAATAAATACATCTTTGAAAAAATCTAATAAGTACATATGTGAACCAATGATTTGATTTGGTACCAATCAAACCAAATTCAGGCAGATTATAGTTATAAAATTAAGTGATCAATCTGTGTACAATGCGTTCTATTGTTTCAGTAAACAAGCTTAGGTTTTGTTCAGTATAGTGTTGTAGAGATTATTAAATTTTTGATTGAGATCATGAATCGATTGATGTTAGGTCACCATTAAAAACCTGGAAGCACTGGATGGCCGTTTCGTTCTATCGTGGAACTTCTCAGCAGTGCACAACCATTATCCCGCTCTCGCGATCACAACCCAGGGCCTTCAGTCTTGAGCTCAAACGTTTAACCTCTAGATCGCTGAGTCGGCATCCAACAGTGTTAATGTCTAGCCTCGACTGATTCGCGATGTACACTGCCGAGAAGTCCTACAACATGACGAAACAACCTCCCAGTGCTTCCAGGTTTTCATTGGTGGTCTAACATCAATCGGATCATGATCTCAATCAAAATTACTATTGACTTGATTTTTATGAATTATTTATTATACACTAGATACTATGCTGTTTTACGATTTATCTTAGTATCATCCAACCATGGGAAATATAATCATTATAGATCATGAAACTGGAGATAAACATTCTGATTGTTTAAAAATCTCTATCATATTAAAAGATTGATATATGAACGAAAAATATTCTTTTCGATAAGTTCTCTTCAGGTTATTAGGAAAAGTCAATATCGATTAGAATATTTGCCCTTATTGATTTTCCAAGAATTTCGCCTAACTTTTAACATTGGTTTATTTGAATTTTTCGACATGAAACAGTGGACCAAAGATTTGTGTCATTCGGGACTCTACTTCAAATTCCCTCAACTATTCTGATTTCGAACACTAAATGGATGAGATAATAGTCGTAACATTTATTCAGCTATAATGAAACGGACGCCCATGTATTGTAGCTGCTATAAAAAGTCACTTTTTAATATCGAAATGTTTCAAACATACGCAAGACATTCCTCCATAAGATAGTGGTTGAAAGTAGTCGACAGGATACCCTGGACCCCGTTTTGTGCTACTTGGCACTCGTCAGTAAGGTGCACCTGTAATCTTGAGGGAACTGGTGCTGCCTAACAGATTTGACCCAATGTCACCCAGCTTCATAGTCAGAAATGTTACTACTGTGCTATACGAGCCGTGACTGATCTCCTGTAGGACTGAAATGTATTCACAATTGATTTATCTCTAGGTGATGATTGATGTCATGTGTGTCAGGTCCTTCTTAGTCGAGTTGAGTCACCTAGACTAGTGGCCACATTTCAACTTCATCGATAGCACTCGATCTACACTAAGAAGGGAGTTACACACACGACATTGATCATCACCTAGTGAATACATTATTCCATAGAAATTAAAAATCAAAACTAATATCAGTATTCAATATGTAACCAAAACAGAATCAACTGAAGATACGAATAGATGATTGTGTCCATACGTAATATGCATTAAAATAGTCAGTGATTAAACGAATTAAATAACAGCATATTTTCTTTTAAATCTTACCTAACGTGTTGCTCTTCTTAGTTTTAATTATTTCAATCATTGTGTTTATTTTACCTGTTTATTATTTTGTTCGTTGTCAATTTGTCTAAAAATAATATTATAGTAATGGCGAGAATAATAATATTATTCCTCGTCGTTAATGTTCAGTTTGTGTAGTGTTCCAGCCAGAAACAGCTTTTGAAGCCTACTGGGGAGACCTAGTGGTCTTTCTTGAACGAATTCCGTTTATTTGAGGCCCATAAACCTACCTCATGGATGTGATTTAGTAAAAACCGCGGCCCCACGGGTCTTTGCAAACATAATGGTATCGTATCAAGAACAAATAAAGAAGTTTGAGAATTTACTTACCCTGGATATGTATAGTCCACTTGTATATTAGTTAACACAAGAACTTTCATCCACGTATCACCTTGCATACATGCAGGTATACATACCCTGTGAGTAAATATACGTTACATGCACACCAGTAACACACAGGTTTAACCCTATGCATCCCATAGCATACACTAAGGTATATTCACCCACCTCGAAGTGTAGATGCTCACCGCTTCCAAAGAAAATGCATTTACCGTGCCAGACTGTCTCTTACATATTATATGCATATCGTTTATACCAGCATTTCCTGACACACGCACAAGCATAAACACTCTCTGAGGGGAGGTTGATGGTTATCTCACTTTAGTTTTTGCTACCACATTTTTTTATTATGTCTTCGACCTGATGTATAGAGACGACTCTTCTTCAGCTCAACGGTTTCTTTGTACAACACCGTATACTACCCACATACATGAACTAAATAGGTCCAAGAACTGCGATTCTCATGTATAAGCATAAGCATCGAGTAGCCCCAGAGGTAACATGAGCCCCTAGTATAGAACCAGGGGGTGATCAAATACAATAGAGTGGGTAATTAGCCCAATTTCTGTGACCGCCCAAGTTAACTTGTAGGGTTACCCCCACTATTCAGCACCGCCACAAAGAAGCCTTAGGTCGGATTTTACTATAAATAATTAGTCTTTGTTGCAATATATTCATTATGGGCTGATATTTTTGTCATGGATTAGTCATGTTACACGACAGTAACATAAAATTAGTTAACTGATTTTGGAACGTTAAAAAAATTTTCTAAATTATAAATGAGAATAATAGAAATATCTTTATTCGAATATCAGAATAAATGTGAATAAAATGCAAATTCATTAAAGACGAGTTATTTATTGGGATATCGTCGGTTAAATTCCAGTCATTTAAGAATTTAATTCTCTTTGTACTGCCATCTACGTCAGGAATTTCAGAAGTAGTGAACAAAACACCGGTAGGACTTGTTAATAAAATCTAACAATCATAGAGTAAATGCTTAATTAGCAAAATGTTCATCAATTGTCTCAGAATGGCTCAGACTTCATTGTTCTTGCATTTTCACACAAATCGCATTCTGTTTCCATTCTTTACTGTTCGATCCTCTTGTCTCTCTGCTGCCAGATATTCTGTTCATGACTAATGTCATATACTACATATGTTTATATAAGTAGCACATACCAGAGTATAACTTTTTTTCCAGTTGGTTTATATTATGTAATATTGAACACAACCTCATAGATAGTTTCTAAAGCATCTAATTCTATAAAAGCATTTCTACTTACAAATATTCATAGTTTATTTTGTTCCTTTTACTATGTGATTGGTAAATTTTAAAGTGGTTAATATAACTCCATTGTTCATATTAGTCACTAGATTGTAGAACAAATTATAAAAACGATCTGAAGACAAACATATTCTTTCATCTTGTTTACCACTGAACTCATTTATTTATGCATTTATTACAACCAGTGAACTTGTATAGTATATTTTCTTTCTAAAATACTATACAAGTCATTCTTTTTTCTCTTTTATTGAATAAGTCTTGATTATTCTTTTTAGAGAGTTTACATTATGCCGCTGTAGTAACCTTTTCCTTTTGATTAATCTAAAGGACTAAAGGCATACTTATTCCTTATTAATGACCATCTTTTCATTACTAATTACGGGTTGAGAAGTGATGTTGTATTTTAAAAAAGGACTTGTACAATCAAAGCATGCGTTATCCTGTTATGAAAATTTATGAAAAATTAATAAGATTATAGAATGACAAAATTTAGGTGAAAAAAATAAATATTATGAGCAAAGATGGATGATCGCTAGTAGCGGAATCCAGAAGATGTAATTCATGCTAGTTGGGACTCTTCAGCTGGATATACCTGCTTCCCGGAGTTGACGTCCACTCCGGGCAGTATCAAGGCAATGTGCACAGGATGCATATATGCCAATAAGAGACTGATCAATTGAAATTCTAAACATCAATTGGAAGATATGAACAAACAATGTAGTACAAGAACGTGAATGGGGACAATCGAATCTATTTGAACACGAAATTACAGAATATCACACTAAAATCTGAGAACCATATAGTAAATATTATCTGATAATAATCAACATATGCTCACTAGTGACTGGCTTCAAGAGGTATATCCTGGAGTTCTAGTGAGAAGTAGTGACCAGTGGAGTTCGACCAGGTCTGTTGTGGGATAGTAACTCACTGAAGACAATGGTGGATGTGTCGCTCAATTTCGTGGATTAGTTGAAGTTAGACATTAACACCGTTGGATGCCGGCTCAGTGGTCCAGTGGTTAAGTGCTCGCGCGAAACCAGTAGGTCCTGGGTTCAAATCTCGCAGGGGGCGAGGTCGTGGATGGGCACTGCTGAGGAGTCCCATAATAGGACGAAATGGCCGTCCAGTGCTTCCAGGTTTTCCATGGTGGTCTAGCTTCAACTGACTCATGATCTTAATTATAGTTAATTTGCAAAATATTAATCCATCGTGTCAAACTTGATCGTCCATTTTACAAATATCAGTTCATTGTTCATGCATTTTCATACAAATTGCATTCCGTTCTCGTTCTTTTCTTATCAATTTTCTACTGAAATACATTCTATAATTGACCACTATTATATACTACTTATATGGATATAAGTAACACACACTACAATAATACAAAATGAATGAAAACATAAACAGTTAACAAGCTTAAAAACGTTAACCAATCTCTTTCACTTTTAAAAAGTAGGCTATATAAGTGAACTTTTGTTTACTAAAGATTCTAATAATGTCAAGATTAAGGTTTAGATCTTAGTTTATGAACAGTGTAGAAGAATACTTTAAAGTTGTACTAATGAATCCTTAAGAAATTTAGTAACAATATCAAATTTTTTTATGCATTTTGATACTCGTTCTTTTCTACTAATTTTTTTGTGACAAGAAACTATTCACTTTCTCATTTTAATTTAATCACTTGGTCAGCTTTATCAATTTTAAGTGTTGTTAGTAACTTAATATTGGTATTTCCCAATAATTTACTATCTAAATCTTAATAGAACATAAACTGAACAATATCGCTTTTTGAATTTTGGCCCAAACATTTTGTGATTAAGATCATGAATTGATTGATGTTAGACTAGCATTGAATTGTGAATGCACTGGATGGTCGTTTTGTCTTATTGTGGGACTCCTCGACATTTCGCGGGGTGGGGTCGTGGATGCGCACTGTTCAGGAGTCACACAATAGGACGAAACGACCATCTAGTTCTTCCAGGTTTTCATTGATAGTCTAACATCAATTGAGTCATGATCTCAACTATCGAAATTACCACAATCTCCACAAAACCTCCTTTGATATCATAAGAACCTATATAATGAATACCCTAAATCCCGATGATTTAAAAATAAAAATTGTTATAATCAATGTAGAATCATATAAGCCACTCTGTTTGCAATCATACTTCTAATTAATCTGTATTCACAGATTCTATAATTAAAATATCTATACTAAATGATACACAATCAGTTTACACAATAATCTAACGGAATTCAATTTCATTCAAGAGTAAAAGAAAACAAAAACAACTATGGAAAATAATTCGTATCAGAAAGGGTTTTGTAGATATTGAAGTATGGATATCATAGTATTGATACTAATCAACATATGCTCACTAGTGATAGGCTTCATGAGGTATTTCCTGGATTTCTTGTGAGAAACAGTGACCAGGGGAGCTCACCTGGGTCTGTTGTGAGATAGTAACTCACTGAAGACATTGGTGAATTTGTCGCTCAATTTCGTGGATTGGTTGAAGTTAGACATTAACACCGTTGGATGCAGATTCAGTGATCTAGTGGTTCGAATATTGCGAGACGAGATCGTGTATGCGCACTATTGAGGAGTCCCACAATAGGAAGAAACCGCACTCCAACTCTTCCAGGTTTTCCATGGTGATCTACCTTCCATAAACTCATGATCACAACTATTGAAAAATAATTCATTTTCATTATTAAAAAAAAATTATTGATCAATTAAGTATCTCCATTTATTATCAAATTTATAGGAATGACACTATTTCAACTTGCACATAATATTATTGAAAATATTATTATCAGAAAGCATTGTAAGCTAAAATGAATTTGCATGCTTTTGTTTTCATTTTAGCATTAATCGTTTGCATACAATATTAGTATTAGTTATTTCTAGTAACTTCAATGTATATTTGTAGTTGGTAGATTTAGATTGGTTTCTATGTCAATCAATCAGTCAGTAACAATGTAGAATTTCGTATGTACGTACATCAGTTCGAGTTGCTATACTGATTTAAATATTAAAACAATTACATAAAAATGCATTTTTATCACCTTCACTAACAATTTTTACAGTGTTTACATTTAGTTATTTGGGTGAGACTATAATTTATGGACGAACCAATCAAGTATAACATAATAGATCTCGGATTTTGACACGAAATTCATTCATCCATTTGGACAAATTGAGTTTCGGCATTATAGGTGATATCGATTCGTGATAAAGGAACCTAAAATCTAATTCCTAACATTAACCATCAACTATAAATCATAAATTGAATTCCTCACATTATTTATAATCCTCGTTTGGTCCTAGTTATCAGGTAGACACTCTGAACGTCAGTTTGTCGTCGCTAAAAGGTCGTCCATAAATTATAGTATCACAGTTATTTGTTGTAAATGTTTACTAAAGTTATGTATAAACAAAGATGAGTGATAGTTGAGAATGGAATCTAGAATGTGAGTTTCGTCCTTTTTGCCCTTGCATTTTAGAGTTAATGTTTATTCAGGGATTGGAACTCATTACTGTTCGCTTCGAAAGTTATTTTGTTATCCATTTAGCTAATCCAAACCCTTGGTTGTCTGAATACCTTACACCTGTCATCCCTCATGGAGGAGCAAAAGCCGATCACCAGAATTCTCTGACCAAATCTGACTTGGAAAATCTTTTCTAGTTGCTATTCATTTTATTTATGTCTGCTTCTAATTCTCGTCACAGTGTGCTCTTTAGTTTTACTCTTTTCCGTTTCCCTTCCTCATTCCAAGTTAGCGCTTGCCTCATGATCTAGTTTGATGATTTCCAAAATGTGTGTCCTATACACTTCCGATGTCTTTTTTTTAATTTTCTCTTCCGTTAGAAGTTGAGTTGTTCTCTCACACAGTAGGTTGTTTATGATGGTATCCGGTCAGTGGAGATTCACTGACTTCCGAATAAACTTGGCTTTCATAATGAGGCGCTATAATTCTTGTGAATGAAGATTCGGTTTCCTGCGGGATGGGGTTGTCGACCCCATGTCTAGCCCTCCTCCTTTATGTAATCTTGGGATCGACAGCAGCCCTAGAATAGCTGCAGGCGGAGTTTGCAGTTGGTGAATTTCACTATTTCTCATCATCGCTAAACATTTCTCAAATAAGTCCCTCAAAATTATGTTCAATCCTTCATTTAATGAATTTATCCGATTTCATCAATATCAAGCAGTTAAAGATAACTTTATATTCACCATAGAAGTGAATTGTTTTCAGAATTTCAAAAAATAAATACTATAGTTTTGCCCATATTTTTCTATATATACTACTAATATAACTATTAAATTTTTTTATTTGATTTCCTTTTAAAGGTTTAGAAGTTGGCATTGAACCAACTGGACAACATAAAGAGGTAAAAGATAAAAAAGATTTGGCATTACTAGCTGAAATTGAAAATATTTCAGCGAGATTAGATTTTCGACATTATGTAAGATGTTATGTAATATTTCCTTTCACTTTCTCTTTAGTTTTATTTACAATGAAGAGAGTTGTGGGTGAATAAAATAATGGAAATGATCACTTACCTGGTAGTTGACTATGAGGAAATCAACCACTACTGTATACTGTCAAAACGCATCTACATTGCACTTCATTTGAATTTTACATAGGATGGTTATGATGCAATTAAACTTGATTCTTTTTTGGCTTGTTTACTCAAAAAAAGTAGAACGCGATTTTCAACTAATAGGTCAATAAATTAATGTTTTGTACTTTCAATCATCTATCAAAAAATATAATGGGAAGATTCAAAGAATTTCATGCTATTAGACATTCCTCAGCATGTAGTGTCTGCATTAATCTGACATGACACTGTCTTTATGATTAAAAAGGTACTATTTAGTATTGCAGTCAGAAATGTTACGGTGACTCTTATTCAATCGTAGTTAGATAGCACTGAGTTAAACCCTTATGAAACATAAAAACTTGCTTCAGTATTGCAAATACTGACGAGTATAAACTCATATAAACTATAAGCAAAGATGAATAGTGGCTAGCAGTTGAATCCAGGACGCGCGTTTCGTCCTACTTGAGACTCGTCAGTTGGATGTGTCTGCATCTCAGAGTTGATGTTCACTCTGAGACTTGAACGCAGTACCGTCCACTTCAAACGCCATCGCGTTATCCTCTTAGCTATTGAGTCCTGATAGCCACTTTCTTGTGTAATGAGGTGAAGTTTAATTCACTCGATATTGTTTTACTTGAATCTTCCCATCGATGTTTAGGACTGCAATTGACATATATTGGCACATATGCCAATAAAGGACTGATCAATTGCAGTCCTAAACATCAATGGGAAGATTCAAGTAAAACAATATCAAGCGAATCGTAGAAACTATAGTTTCATCTGACCAGTAAGTTTCATAAAATTATTTTACTTGATACTAACTCAGTTCGACTAATAGCTGCATGGGTACTTGTCGGTATAAATGGATAAGAACTAAGAACTAGATTAATCAGCAATCAATTCGCGGGACAAATCGCTAATCACTTCTTAACTCTTTAATCATTTTCTTGAAAATACAAAATGAAATAATAAATGCACAAATGTTTTGCATCTTTTAAAAAAAGACCATAGATACATCCAAATAAACTTGTTCGCTATGATAAAACATATGTTTCAGCCAGACATTGAAAGTAATCGCTTTTGTGTTTCATCATCATGGCATGTATGTTTATCTACATACATGTATATAATGATGTAAAACAATGTATACATATATACAATATATTTCTGTAGTGTAGGTGAGCTGCCCTAATTTCTTTACAGTTGTAAACAGATAAACATGTCAAATGTTATTGTTACTTGTCACAGAATTGATCATTCAATGGATTAAAAGATATTCCGGATGGATCCCTGCTGTTTGCTTTGGTAAATAAATAGATGCGTGGACAGATATATATATATATATATATATATATATATATATATATATATATATATATATATATATATATATATATATATATATATAGATCGATAGATAGATAGATAGATAGATAGATAGATAGTCATATTTTCACATTTTGTAGTCTAAATTATATAGATAGATAGATAGATAGATAGATAGATAGATAGATAGATAGATAGTCATATTTTCACATTTTGTAGTCTAAATTATATAGATAGATAGATAGATAGATAGATAGATAGATAGATAGATAGATAGATAGATAGATAGATAGATAGATAGATAGATAGATAGATAGATAGATAGATAGATAGATAGATAGATAGATAGTCATATTTTCACATTTTGTAGTCTAAATTAGAATCATGTTACTATCGTTATTTGTCCTATTTTATTACATATTTAAGAAAAAACGTTTGTGTTGGTATAGTCGATTCAAACTTCATAGTGAATAGTCCGAATTTTTCTCTGTGTTCTACTCAAACTGCATAGCAATATATCAATGATAAGTAGAGGGTTAACTATGATTAGGTAGGTGAATCAGGTGTAAATAATGTGATTAATCACGTAATATTACGTTAATGATCGGTTACTTTTGATTCGCTCACAATTAATATTGAATTATCATAAAGAAGATTACCGATAAATTTCTGGAGACATTGTAGGCACATAAAAAATAACCGTAATATACTTCACTTGGTACTTATCAAGGAATAATAATTTATTTCAAAGGACATACCTAAGAATCTGTATAAAAAACGACTGTTATTTTGTCAAATACAACGAATGTCAGTTTATATCTTTTGTATTTAGAAACAAAACGACAATTTACAACTGATTGATCATTGAGTACTGACCACCTTTGTGATTGTCTAGTCCTTATTGCTTGGATTTTATTCATCAAGTTACTATGTGGCTTATCGTAACCTTACATCAATTATATTATATTGAGATGTTAGATAGTTATAGATACTTAACAGGATACCCTGTACTGAAGTTTTGTGCTATTTGATTCTTGTCAGCACGGTTAGTTAGGACTTTTACAGTGGTTGATTGTTCTGTGATGAATTCGGTCGCTTATCTTTCAGTTTCACAAACTGAGAACTTACGGCTAAGCTACATAACTTGACATAAATGAACTATCCGTATTCATCACTGAACATTTCATCATCATACTCGTTAGATTTATTAATATTAACATTACCAAGTAGTCAGAAAATCTTTATTATAAAACATGAATCTTTTTCTTGTAATCTGACAAGACATTTTGTCATGATATTCCTGTTATTTGCATTATGCTGACTGATATGAAACATAATACTGAAAACATTTTAATATAGAGAAATTCTAAGCTTATATACTTTAATTTCCTTAACAAACGGGCCTATAGGAAAACAAATCTCTAACACTAGCCGTTTAATAAACGTCATTTACATTGACAATTATTGTGCGTATGCCAAATATAAATATCAAGTGTCTATATTCAATGTTTTCAGAAATACTAATATACTAAATTATGTGTGAGACTATAATTTATAGACGACCTATGAGCGACGTCAAACTGACCTTCAGAATGTCCACCTAATAACTAAATGAGGGTTGTAAACCTGTTTGAAGGATAAAGATTTTGATTTACAGTTGATGGTTAATGTTAGGAATTAGATTTCGGGTGGTTTTTTTTATCACAAATTGACATCAGCTATAATGCCAAAACTCAATTTCTCTAAATGGATGAGTGAATTTCGCGTCCAAATCCGAGATCTGTTATCTTATACCTGATTGGTTCATCCATAAATTATAGTCACGCCAAATTATGTACTACCATCTTTTAATGTCATAATATAAGATGTCATTTTGCAACATTACAAAAACAAAACTTGTTTACAAACATGTAGTCATTTAATATTTTATTACTAGTAATATAGCTTACAATATGAATATTGTGAAATATATTTATGGTTTTAATATTGATAATATTTCAAACAGGATCTAGATGCTGTTGTGCGTAAAATGTATATGTCTATTCAAAAAGAGCTTGAAGATTTACGTACAGCTAGAAATACAACAACACCAATGCCTGGTAATATATCAATTTTTACTGCCACTAGCAAGTAAGCATTCATAAAGTTACTTAATTTTAACTACTCCCTTCGTATTACCATCGTTTACTATCACTACAGTAAGGCCAGACTTATTTATGTATTTATAGATTGATAAACAACAAGAAAAAACTGACAGACTATGCTACATTCAAATAAAGTCTTTTACAAATTGTGGTTTATGCTACTTATAAGTAGTATGTAACAACAATCAGAAGTGGAATGTCTGTGAGTAGAAGGTTGATGAGATCGAAATGAAGGGAAAAGAAAAAGGAAACCTAAAGTAATCAAAATAACAGTAAGAGTAAAGCAACAGTCAATCTCGTAAGAGACCATCCGAAGGAAATGCGCAAATGGTGGATTCGATGTACGATTTACATATTTTACTACATGATTGTATAGTTGTGTATTAAGTAATAAGTTGGTCTTCCCCACTCAAGTGGTCTTTCATTACAATATTAATCTGTCAGTATCCCAAGTTGAAGATAGGCCTCAACATACTTTTGCCTGTATTGTATTGTGATACCAACATTTATTGTACATATTTCCTAAATGAACAACATCATGATAATCTATTCAACTTAATGATAGCAATTTCTAGAGATAATTTGAAAGAAGTAAGAAATTAATCTCATTTGATTTTATAGCGCTTTCAGATAATATAGTCCCCATAACATGGAATGGAGTAATTATTAAAGAACAGTTTTTGTAATAATTGTGATGAATCAGTCATGGCATTCACAACCAAATGATGATCAGCTATTAACCTAATCAAAGTTAAGTTATTAATGGAAATATTTACTTCCTTACGACTGTTACTTCCAGTGGAGCATATACTGCCGATCAGCATTCTCCAACTCACTTTGTCCTGGACCTTCCTTTCTAGTTATTTCCAAGTGTTGTTTATTCTTTTCATGTCTGTTACCATTTCTCAGTGTAATGTGTTCTTTGGTCTTCCTCTTCTCCTTTGGACTAGAGGATTCCGAGGGATGGCTTGCCTTGTGATGCAGTTGGGTGCTTTCCTCAATGTATGTCCTATCCAATTCCAGCTCTCCTTCCTAATTTTTTCTTCCGCTGGAATCTGGTTTGTTCTCTCCCACAGTAGGTTGCTGTTGATAGTGTCTGGCCAACGGATTCGAAGTATTTTGTGTAGACAACTTTTAATGAACACTTGTATCTTCTGGATGATGGCTTTCGTAGTCCTCCAGGTTTCCGCAACTTACAGTAGACCCGTCTTGATATTTTCATTAAAACTCTGACTTTGGTGTTGGTTGCCAATTGTTTTGAGTTCCAGATGTTCTTCAATTGTATATATACTGTAATCTTTTCTTACTAATAATTATTCAACATCATTGTACTAAAGAATAGCAACCTCTATTCATGAGTATTCATATAAATCTCAAAGGTTCTTGATACTTAAAATTAACGAAATAAATGCATAAGTTTCTATCCATTTCAGGCTACTGTGCAATTGTTTATTCGATTTCTCACGAATCATAAATTTTATCCATGTTCTAATTTTCTGGCTTAATTTCAAACCTTTAACCCTAAATCCTAACAACAACTGTTACATAGTTTCTAGTTGGTTACATAACAAGTCATTCATTCATATCATAATCATTTTTTTACAGATAGTAAAGTCGATTTCATATTTTTCAAGTCGTTAAACGTCGTTAGAATGGTTTACTTTCAACTAATTAACACTACTAAAACAGTTTTGTTGGAATAAGCTTTAAAAGAATTAGGGCATTAGTAATGTTATAGAAGTCGTTTGCATTCTATTCCATCGCTATTTCTATTTACTGAGTGTTCTTTACACGCCTTATCATTGTCTGTATACACAGTTTGATTTTCATCTCTCCTGTCTCTTAACCATAATGTGTTTTTTCATTAGTTGATAAGCTGAGTATGCATTGAGTTGGTTGACTCATCGCTGACTAATTTGAATTTAAAGATTCTAAAGACTATCTGAACTTATCCTAAGTGTTTATGATCAAGAGTTCGAAGTTTTCTAAGAGAATTGGTGTACATAACAGTCTATAGTGTATGAATCTATGTGATATAGAGAGTGCAAGTTTTAAAAAAACTATTTTTATGAATGAGCTACAGATCTTTACAGGTCTAACTCGTTTTATTATGCATGATAGACACAATAAGCATTCTATCTCTCATTTTCATTTATGTATTTCATAAACATATATCATCTTTAAAACCGTGTATATAATCAATCAGAGCTAATTATTTACTATTTTTCTCTACTTGATAAATCAAATATGTTCTTTTATTTCATCTAGAGAAGGTGTTGAACGTTATGAGTTAATGTTTCCAAATAGTGCAAAACGAAAAGAATGGGAGAAAACAATACTCGAATTAAAACGTCAATTAAGTAAGTTTGTTTAATATGGCTCTTATACATAAAATGAAATATAATCATAGTAAATCAAAATTAGATTGATGGATATCGTTTCAAAACTCCGCCTACAGCCCCCCTGGGGCTACTGCCAGTCCAAAGTTCGGATAAAAGAAGAGGGTTGGACATGGTTGGGTTAGAGAATGCTGGTCTGTTGCCTTTGCTCCATTAGGAGTTACAGGCGTAAGTAAGTAAGTACATCTATTCAAGGCAAAACTTTTACTTACCTATCCAAGATACAGAAAATTATCTGGAGTTCAGTAAAAAGATCCTACTTTGAAAAGCAAAATTAAAAATATTATTTCTTCGTAACATTAATTCACATATGAAAGAGCAGTTTTTCTTCTTTTTTTATTTCTTTTTTTTCGAATGATAATTCGCTTCATATTTCAATAACATTTACTAGAGATGCATCATATGAACAAGATGGTAGTTTAATGGAAAGATCTGTTTTCGATCATCTCATTCTTAAAGCTGTTCAATTGTATATGCATATGTAAGCGGACATAGATTTAGCAAACATGACATAATGTTGTAATAAAAAAATATAATTATTATTCGCATCACCATGGTTAGATTACAATCGATGAAAACATGTCTTAGAAAGTAGTTAATGAATAATAGTTACATAACTACGTTATATAGTATAATAAAATAAGTTTTGAAATGTATATAAACTTTTGAAAAATACAGAAATAAGTGGATATCCTTATTTGATCGTTTTGTTGTGCTAATGTGTGGCAACTTGGACCGATTTATGTATGTGCCTGATCCTACGTTGTAACTGACTGATTGACTGACTGCGGTAAAGGGGGTGATTTGTTAAAATGATTTTTATAAAAAATGAACATGAAAGTGATTAAAATATGTTTATTCTGTTGCTTTTTAAGGTTCTGTTAAAAGAATGGCAAGATTTAATGAGGCTGTTCAAATTCCACGTACATTACCAGGAATACAAGTGAGTTATTTGTTATATTACTTCCAATATATACATGTATAAATATATGAATTTTCATCCGTAGAGCACTACCAATTAATATATATATATATATATATATATATATATATATATATATATATACATATCAGAAGGGATTGTGTGGAGATTTTAGAAATTTCACTGGTTGAAATCATGAATCCATTGAAGCTAGACCACCATGAAAAAGCTGGAAGCACTGGACGGCCGTTTCGTCCTAGTATGGGACTCCTTGGTAGTGCGCATCCACTGCTGAGGAGTCCCGTACTAGGACGAAACGGCCGTCCAGTGCTTCCAGCTTTTCCATGGTGGTCTAGCTTCAATGGATTCATGATTTCAACCAGTGAAATATATATATATATCTTAATAAGTGAATGACTCTGATTGCAAAATCGAAATAAATATAGTTTACTTCACCGACTGTTCTTGGCTAGACAACCTTCGAAAAATTAGGAAGCGTTTGGACTCTACTTCGTTCAAGTATAAAATGTTTTACACTTGAGTATAAATTACTCTTTCAGGGATTGACCACAGGACCTTTGGTTCGTGGCTAATGTTTAAAAACTAGATCACTGAGCTGAGATCTGATAGTGTTTATGTTCATACCCAACTAATGTTTATCTAACCAAGATCAAGGAATGGTTCAAAATATAATGTTCGACAGTCTATACTAACTCCTTGTACTGAAAATGAACATGTACTTACTAGTAATAAACTTCCAGAGTTAATTCCTATAGTTCTAGTAAGAAGTTATGATCATACTAATTGTGATAAGTTATACACAAATGCAATGAAACTGGTCGGGTTATATAGCAAATTTATTGAAGTAAAAGATGTAAACCAATATAGATGAATTCAGTGATCTTCAATTTTAATGCCTGCAGTAAGATGTGAATTTTTCGAATCTGATCCTCAATGGGGCAGAAGATACGGTATATTGGAGAGTCCCATACTAAAACAAAGCAGTTATCCAGTGCTTTCTGTTTTTTTTTTTGTCGTTGTCTAACTAAGAAAATAGACGATGAATATTCAACAATAGAAGAAACATATTATATTAATAATTTTTCTTACAAGCAATCACAAATGTTTGTGAACATTCAATCACATATTTAAGGTAATAACATTTTGAAAAAACCATTAACGATAACCCAGGTACTTCTTGAAAAGAAATATTAGCCTCATATTATTGTTATATCATATATAAGACATGAAAATCTGTCATTAAAAGTTTCTTGTCTTAAAGGTAATCGAGTAACTCAGTATAAATAAATCTTCTATTTCTTAAACTCATTTATTATGCAACGATTTAAATCTAGTCATTGAATCTGTAAATGAATGCATAAATCTTGTATGTTTGTTCAATTGGATCGTAAACTGAAATAGCTATAAATTGAAACCATTAAGATGTCTAAACTTAATGACAAATGTTATGAAGTTTATTTGGAAAAGGACTTTTCAGTTACATTTATAGAACCCTAGAAAGTATTTCATGATAGCGAATTAGTGTTCAAAGAGTATGAACATAATTGAATTAATTCATTTGTATAATATTTGTAAATTGTGTTCGAACAGATATTTATTAACCCATGAGTTCAGATTAGTATGAAGTATAACATTACAGAATATCATGGTAAAATCTAAGAATCATACAGTAAATACTTCATTTACAAAATATCCATCAATTGTCTCAAACTTTAGTGTTCCTTCATTTTCATAGCAATCGCTTGTTCTCTTCTCTTTAATCGTTTTAACCTTTTGCCGAGAGACATTTCATTTTCGATTGATGATACATACTATTTATATGTATGGATGTCAGTAGCACATATCATAATGGTAGTAATCAAAGCATTTATCAATGATAAAGACTCTAAAACATTAACGTCTCTCCATCATATTGTAGTGAACGAAAACATAAAATTACAGAATCTCTTAATAAAATTTAACGATCATACAGTAAATATTTCATTTACAAAATATTCATCAATTGTCTCAAACTTCAATGTTCCTTCATTTCCATACCAATTACTTTCTGTTCTCATTTTTTCCTTCCCAATCTTTTTGACTTTCTACTGTCAAACATTCTATTCCTGACTAGCGTTATATACTACTACTCATATCTATATAAATAGTACACATCATAATATCACCAAACCTTCATAAGGATATTATTCTTAAATACTATGACTAGTCTATTGTAGATTCCATAAAAGAAATGAAAATATTTCTTATAAAATTATATCCATAAGTTTATTTAATCAAACAATTTCTTTATAAGTTAACAGCTGCTTTCATTTAAACTACCGTAGTAGACCAAATTGTTCAGGTTGTTTTTTTTCTTTTTTTTCCTTTTCTTTTTCTTCTTCTTCTACCTCTTCTTTAAAATGTAATCTCTCTATGAATTTAGATTCAAAGCAGAATATGTACAAACAAATTTACAACAGGTGTAGTTTACCCAGACAGTATGTTTTGTAGAAAAAAAACATATACACGTACATATTGTACATATTATATATATATATATATATATATATATATATATATATATATATATATATATATATATATGTATATATATATATATATATGTATATATATATATATATAATTCTATTAGTATTACATTTGGCTTAATCTACCATTTATCAATTCCAATATATGTAGAATAGTATAAATTAAGCAAATCTTATCATTTTAGTATAATGATAATCAATGATATTAAATCTGTGAAATATTTAAGGTAGATACTAAGTATATACAGTTGGACTTCTTTGTTGTTGTTCTTGTTGCTGTTTTTGTTGTTGTTATTGTTGTTGTTCATAGGCTTCTACTTGAGATATTATTGTTTGATGAAGAAAATGTGTATTCATTAGAAAGGTGTTATTGAATTTTTAGGTGAAATGTAAAAAACAAAAAAAATTTTTACCAGCTTCTGATATATACATATGTTTGCATACATATGTATCTTTTATTTATTTATTTATTTTTTCTTAATGTATTCACGTTTGGTACTGATGTTTGTATAGCAGATATCTATGAAGTGGGGGGAGGTTGTCTTTGTTTTTTTTTTAAATTCTGCTTTGCAAATATATATATATATATATATATATATATATATATATATATATATATTTATAGATAAAAAGCCATTGTCTGTAACAACTGTTTATTGGATTAAATTAGATGATCGTTGGCAATTATTAGTAACTAATTAACATTTCTTGGTAATGTATATTATAATGATCGAGAATATAAGTGAAGACAATCGGATGTATTCAAGCATGAAATTACAGAACGTCTTAGTATGAAATGTTAATCAATTGTCGCAAACTTAACTGTTCCTTTGACAAATATCAGTCAATCGTTACAGACATCATTGTTTTTGTATTTCCATGCTAATTGATTTCTGTTTATGTTCTTTCCTTTCTGATCTTCTTGACTTTCTACTAGTGTTATATACTACTTATTTTGATATAAGTAGAATAAACCATAGTATCAACATTAAGGTTGGACTTGGTAGTTTCAAATAAATTGAACATTGTATAGAGAGTTAATAATAAATATATTTTTGTTATATACCTGTGAGTAGAATAATTGTATTTTGATTCATTCGGGTATAACAAATATATGTTTGATAGTTGAATTCATGAGTCAATTTAAGGTAGACCACCATGGAAAATCTGGAAGCACTGGATGGCCGTTTCGTCTTATTGTGGGACTACTCAGCATTGCTCATCCATGATCACGCATCGTAAGACTCGAACACAATATCGTGCTCAACTATTGAAACTACCATAATATTAAAAAAAAACCTTCCGATACTAATCACCATATGCTCATTAGCGACTGACTTCAAGAGATATTTCCTGAAGTTCTAGTGAGAAACCGTGACCAGTGGAGTTCAACCGAGTCTGTTGTGAGATAGTAACTCACTGAAGACATTGGTGAATGTGTCGCTCAATTTCGTGGATTGGTTGAAGTTAGACATTAACGCTGTTGGATGCCGGTCAGCTCAGTGGTCTAGTGGTTTAGCGCTCGCACGCGAGACTGACAGATTCTGGGTTCGAATATCGCGAGGCGGGATCGGCGGTACCCACTGTTGAGGTGTCTCACAGTAGGACGAAACGGCCGTCCAGTTCTTCCAAGTTCAATTGATTCATGATCTTAAGTATTGATATAGCTAAGATATATATTGTTATATGCTATATTTTTTGGTCACATTTCAGTTGTAGATCGTTATTAGTTCTCTTATATATTTGTATTATATTTAACATATTCGTAGTTAGTAAATTTCGTCTCCCATAAGCTTTCAAGATTTCCTGAAAGATCATTTTTGCGAATAAGATGTCAGTGTTTTCTATATGCTTATGATTGAAATAAATTGTGAATAGTTCAAAGACGATATTTATAGTTTGATGCGTTTATCCTTATAGTAATCAACTTCTACAGTATATAAGTATGCAGACCTTTATATATGAGGAACATTTATATAGATTTATTAAATTTTTTATGTAAAGCTAACTAATAAAGCCGTAAATTTTATACAAGTATAGAATTATTTCATAAATCCCCTAGACACAAAACCTTCAGTTATGTAAATACTATTAATAGCAAATATAAAAATAATCTCGTTGAAATAGGTCGATTGGATGAGACTATATATATATATAGTGTATCCAACAGAGATGCCGATTCAGTTGATGAGAATAGGAAACTTCATCAACTGAGGTGACTAAGATACATTTTACCTAAATTTATGCACAAAATACCTAACTATGTAAGCCAGATCGGCATATGAGTTGGTTAGAAGAAAACTGAGGCTTCTTAAGTTTCATCTATGTGGTTGTAAGTATTAAAATTATTCTAATTAATGATTTTAAACTAATTGGCATTATACAGAATCGTTTACAAAGCCTGGATCTTTTCAATCATTGCCTACCATTATATATCGATTTTTAAACTATTTTACTTTTATTCCCTGAATCCGTTATTTTAGTTTTATAATCTTTTCACAATCATCTTCATTATTATTACTTTGATATTTGCCTTGAAAGTTTTAACTCTCTGTTGTGGTATGATTTGTGAACGTAAACAAACGCCTGTTTATAAGTGTTTTATACTGCTTCTGACTGATACAAAATGAATCTTCACTTAATCCACACAAAATGTAGTTATAAATGATTTTGATGGAGTTTTGTTCTCTGAGCTGGATGGTTCGGTCGTGGATCTTTCATCGTTCTTCTGAACGACATCATCAGCACAAAATATTTGAAGCTAAAGAATCACTGAACACTGGACAGTGCTTTAATACCGACTTCCCCGAACATTTTGACCAACTGAACGAATTGAGGATAGCTCTTAGCAACTATCTGAAGTTTGTGCTAATGATGTAGTTCAGAAGAACGATGAAAGATCAACGACCAAACTATCCAGCTCAGAGAACAAAACTCCATCAAAATCATCCATCTGAGGTAGTTATAAAGGATTTGTGAAAATGGATGCTATCATTCAGACAGTGTGGAGGAGATTCATAGCTAAATATCAAGAAGTCATAGATCTGTACTTCACTTTTTATGTAGAAGTATTCAGTCAAATATTTGTATTTTTAAAAAAGATGTCATCGAAAGGAAGATATAATTTAAGTACAACTGGTAAGTGACTAGACATGTGTTATAGAAAAAAGAAGCTTTAAGTGTTTATAAGTCAACTTTAGATTGATGATTTTGAGAAAATGAAACAGACTTTTACCTCATAACTGTATATAAACAAATGAGATAATACTGAATGATTTATTGGATGTTCGTTTATATCACTACTGTACACTAAGAAGGTAAAATATTATTGAAGATTCCCTATACCCTCAGTCAACACTATTAATTTCCATTAGTTATTAGTACTAACGAAATGTTCTATTGTTATTTTACTAACTAATTAAGCTTTCATGTGCATCTATGATTGAATCATCTCCGCTTGTGGCTGAAACACCTTGTGATGTATGGATATGTGCATCTGATGGTTATACTGGTTATGTTTGTCTACTGACAGTTCATCCAAAACCTAATGTCTATTTCAATGTTCCTTTGTCCGGATGTACATCCCGAATCACATGTATATGCGCTATTCCTGGCTATATTCATCCTGGACTAAGAAGGTCAGTCATAATCATTTTACTGAAGCATTTATATTATTCTAATCCATTTAAATATTTCTAGAAAAGACTATGCTAGTGTATGCGAACAAAAGCGCTACATTTTTATACTTATTGATGTTATTACATTTTAACAAGCTTCAGTTTTCACCTCTATAGATACTGTGCTAGTTACCCTCTTAAACCACAAACTGTTTCTCAGAAATGATAGTGTTACTATATATTTTCTGAGTTGTTCTTTTCATATAACATTGAAATGATTCATGTATTTCAACATATTAAGTTGTAATCTGTTCTGGCTTACTATATAGTTGATTAATATAAAATTTAGAGTGGTATCTTTACCCTTAAATATGAAAATGAACTGATCAATTCATTTGAGTTCATGGCCTCCTCTTGCTTACTTACATACTTGCCTACTTACTTACGCCTGTTAACCCTCGGCAAGTATAGGCAGAGAGAAATTAGTAATGTATTGGTGATATAAGCTACCTTTTATATCAAACTTATATTAACTAGAAATTAATTATTAATCGTCTCGAACTAAACTTTATTCTAAATAACACTGGAGACCAAGAATAACAGAATAGCTGTTTCGTCTTAGCATGAGAGTCCTCAAAAGTGTGTATATACTACACATCCAGAAATCGAACACAAGAGCTTCGGGTTGCATGTTAAATGTTGTCGAAAAATAGTTTATTTTCAACTTCATTCAACTTCGAATGCAACTTTATTACCATCTGATATCAGTGGTGACAAATGCCTCACTCTTGAAATGTTCGAAGTTTTCCAGTCAAACTTCTCACTAGAATTTCAGTAACATCTCGAAATAAATCACCGACGAGCCACATATTAGGGATAAACAATTGTTTAAAGCTTAGATAGTGGCTGAAGGTAATCGACAGGAAACCCTGGACCCGGGTTTCGTGCTACTTAGCACTCGTCAGCAAGTTGTACCTGTAATCTTTGAGGGAACTGGTGTTCCCTGGCGAATTCGATCCTGTGTCACCCAGCTTCACAGTCATAGACGTTACCACTGAGCTATCCGGGCCGCGACCGACCTCCTGTAGGACTGAGATGTGATTACAATTGATTGAACACTGGGTGACCAATGTCATGCGTATCTAGTCCTTAATATTAGTGCAGATCGAATGCTATCGATCATGTAGATCGCGGCCCGGATAGCTCAGTGGTAACGTCTATGACTGTGAAGCTGGGTGACACAGGATCGAATTCGCCAGGGAGCACCAGTTCCCTCAATGATTACAGGTACACCTTGCTGACGAGTGCTAAGTAGCACGAAACCCGGGTCCAGGGTTTCCTGTCGATTACCTTCAACCAACATCTAATCTTACAATGGTGCCCTCAGTGTCGAGTCACCTAGACTGGTGGCTAAATTGCAACATGATCGATAGCATTCGATCTGCACTAATAATAAGGACTAGACAAGCATGACATTGGTCACCCAGTGATCAATCAATTGTCAACTGTTTAAAGCACTCTGCATTTCAATAGCGCCTTGTCTGAGATCAAATTTCAATGAATGCAGGCCACGAATTAAACCATTCTTCAAAAAATTCCTCTACTAGATTATTATTGTTGTTTGATTACGTCAATATTTTTACATGGCACAAACATTTAATGAATGTTTCCCTATGTACATGTTAATTCAGTCATCTGACAGTTTCTAGTTGATCCCTAAGTTATAAATAAGAGGATAAAAGTAAATTATGTAATTTGTTACCCCACGTGCCATTTTGTTATGACAGCGAATAAATGGAATGGAGAAAAATAGAACAGGATATTATAAGAATTTCAATCTAGTAAACATTTTGATAAAACTACATCATAATAGTAATAGAATTTATTCAGAATTGTTATTAAATAAATGTTGAATGAATTGAAAGCTAGTAGCTAACTGGATTCAGTAGCTAAATGAATAAAGTAATAGTGTTTGAAGCTAACTGTACTAGACTCGAGCTCAGGAACGAACATTAATTCTAGAATGCAGATACATCCAGCTAGCTGATGAGTGCGTGCTAGAATCTATTGCTAGTTGTCATCCATCTTTATTTTTTTCTTAATTTGAACCCAGGTTACAAAAAATTAATCATCCTAGATGTTAGATTTATCATCAGTGTTATCTTTATGACCAAACTTTAAGATATATAACCACCAAAACGAATTAGCTGACAAAACAGATAAATATCACTTTCATACTTCTAAAGTAACCAGGTAGTTATTGATTAAAACAAATATGATTATTGAGTAATTTGTAAAAAACTGATCAAACGGCTCAATTACATGGACTTCTTAAACAGTTGTGAATAACAAGTACACACTAATCATATCCGGTTTACTTCAGTAAACAGTAAAAACATTAAACTGTAGTGTCGGCCTTTATGTTAAGCCCATATATTTTATTATCACTTCTGAACAGGCGGCTTTATCCATTCTTCTTGAGTTACATTTTAACCTTTTTAATTACCTTGGCTGTTTTTATATGAGCGTGTCTGTGTGTACAACTTTATCCATCTCATTACATATCTGTAGCTTATTTTTGTGTGACCGTAAATATTGATTAACGCTTGATTAAATCGAGTTGGCTCACACGACTTCTACACTGAGCGTTGTTTCTCTTTGTTAAACTGATTGTCTGTTCAGATCAATGATTGTACAAAATATACGTATTCGAAAATCCTTTCACGTATTTGACTGATTTAATTCCGTTATTCACCAACGCGATTTAAGCTGATGATTATATACAAGAATAGGCGACATATATATTTCGATAGCAATGATTCAATAACGATCAACATATAATCTAATTGGAGTCAGATCCTGGGGCACTAAATAAACTAAAACGCTTTATTTAATATAATATTTCTTCATAATAATGAATAATAAATGTAACTCTTGAGTTATATAAGTATAGATAAACTATTCTTGGTAATATTTTGTATTTTCCAGATATTGATATTGAGAATTACATTCTATCTGTCACTGTTGTCAAATATACATATGGTAGGGAACTCAGGATTACACATGTGGACAAGTAATCAACATCCTAAAAAGTGCGACAACTGACAATCCGCTCGGGAAATATATGTAGCAATAATTACTGTTCAGTAAAAGTCTTAAATATTATTATCGAGAAATTACAAACGCTTACTGAAATATTTATATTCACTTAACATGTTATTGGGTACCTTAATTCCATAGATTAATGGATAATTCATCGACCTAAAGGTCTAATATACAAGGCAGTGAAGCAACGTCATGAGATGCAGTTCCATGGTAGCCGGTGACCAACGATTGGTTCATACGCTATTTGTTCCATCAGGATCCTGGAGCTCATGTGAACCATTGCTTTTGAATCAGGGTTTTTCAACTCCCCTAGGTGAACTCTCCGTGTCCACCAACATGGTTAAAGCGCCCGAGTTTTGCTTTTTTTCCTCTCAATTCCGTAAACAACAGTAGTGTCGCGAGAAGGCAGTGAGTATGACTTCCCTTTCAGTGGTTGTATGCACGTGACCATGTAAGAACATTTCGAGAAGGAGAGTTGACTCTATTCACTCTCGGTCGTACCAGAGCATATGGGGGCATTAATAATAGGATTAACTTAGCAAATATGTGAAATATAAAGGTTAACTTTTTTCGTTATTAAAACAATACTTTCTACTTGTTTAGACAATTATTTTTTATAGGATATGTGGATTCAAAATAGACATAAATAGAATTTTCTGGATTATTGACATAAACGTTTATTGTGTTTCATAACATGTTTATTACACTACATTTAAACTTTAGAACATCCCACAGTCTAACAGCTCAAAGTATTCGATCAAGATATGGAATGGAAAAAAAACGTTCAGCCACTATGGATCAGCCACTGTTAGAAGTAGAACAACAGGTAACTGAAGAAAATAATCGTCAATCAAAACTGTCTGCATCGTTGTCAGAAAAAGCATCTCCGATGATTACAAATGATAAAGTGGTTGATTCAAAAGATGTGGATAAAATAGAGTTAAATACAAGCAGTGATGCAAACAAAAATGCTGGAACTACAGTAGATGATGATGTAAGATGTAGGAAAAGTAGCATTCCACAAGACACAAGCGCCAGTTCACATTCAACTACTCCACCTGATACACCAACCAATACAGAATCTACATTGAAACTCTCAGATGGAGATGAACCTAAAGGTGATGATGTTTTAAACGTACCTAAGAAATGTGATATTGCTCCAGAATCTAGTGAAATTAACGTGCAACAAGGTAATGAGTTGACTACTCAAGCAAACTGTGAAAAATCTGATTCGTTTGAAAAAATTAAAAACGAACCACAACAAGAGATTAGTTTAGATATTTATGCTGAATATACTGATGATCAAGACGATCCTACATCGAATGATTCAGATTCTTCTGATATTAGTGAAACAGAAGGTGATTTAACACAACAAATAATTTCAGAGAATTTATCAGATAACTCATTATTCAAAGAAACTGGACAGAATATACAATCTTGTGAATACGATGGTAAGACAGGTAAGGTTATATGACAAATCGATTTTTATTTATGAAATATATATGAAATATCCACAAAACCCTACTGATATGAATCGACTTATGCTCACTAGTGACTGCCTTCAAGAGATATTTCCTGGAGTTCTAGTGAGAAGTAGTGACCAGTGGAGTTCAACCGAGTCTGTTGTGAGATAGTAACTCACTGAAGACATTGGTGAATGTGTCGCTCAATTTCGTGGATTGGTTGGAGTTAGACATTAACACCGTTGGATGCCGGCCAGCTTAGTGGTCTAATGGTTAAGCGCTCGCGCGCGAGACTGATAGGTCCTAGGTTCGAATCTCGTGAAATGAGGTCGTGGATGAGCACTGCTGAGGAGTCCCCCAATAGCTAAAAATGGCCGTCCAGTGCTTCCAGGTTTTCCATGGTGGTCTAGATTTAGTTGACTCATGATTTCATCCATTGAAAATATAAAGTACTTTAAAACTTTTCATGAACAAACGATCGATTTTCATTGCCATTCATTTTTTTGTACAAATAACTATCTTGTAATACCATGTAGACAATCATGTATGTAAATTTACGAAATAAAACTTTGTATTTATGTAAGTAATGTGATAAATATGTAAATTTCTGTTGATGCGAATACACCACACGGTAACATTGTAGTGTGTGCTACTGATGTCGATAGATATAATAATATGTGTCGTCACTCGAAAGTGAAACGCCTGGCAGCAATAGGTTAAGAAGAGCAAAGAAAGGTGAACAAGAATCAAGAATGATTGCTGTGGAAATGAGCGAACACTGAAGTCTGAGATGATTGATCGACAGTTTGCTAATGAAGTATTTACTGTATGGTTAATAGGTTTTACTGTGATGTTCTGTAGTTTTGTATTCAATTACATTTGACTGTCCCCAATTGTGCTCTTGTTCATTACAGTATCTATGCTATTCTTGTACGGAAATTAAAATCTTTAAAAAATATCATAGGTTCTCTTGATACACCGTACAGGTTTTTCTTAAAATTTGAAACACAATTGTAAACTATGACGAATAAGCTATTTATTAATAAACAATATTGACTTGTTTAAAGTGAAATATAAAAGATAAAGCTGACAAATACTGTAATTGATGCCATTTTAAATTACTGTCATTATACCATGATGATATAGATGTACTTCTAATCAACTTCACCTGTACAGCAAAATGTTAACTTTTATATGTCATACAATGTAAGGAACAGATGATAACCTATTGGAATAAAAATGAAGTCATTTTAGTCTGTTCAATTCATTATACACTTTAAGAGACAATAGTCTATATAATCGACATGAAGTGATACCTTATATGCAGTAACTACATATTTATGTGAAACATATACAACAGAATAAGAATACCAGTATAGGGTTGTGGAGATCATTTAGTTTTGATATAGATCATAAAACGATTGATGTTAGACTAACATTGAAAATCTGGAAGCACTGGACTCAATTTCGCGGGTTGGTTGAGGTTAGAAATGAACATCATTGGATATCAGCCAGCTCAGTGGTCTAGAGGTTAAGCGTTAGCACCCGTGACTGAAGGTCCTGGGTTCGAGCCCCAAGAGCGGGATCATGAATGTACACTGCTGAAGAGTCCCATAATAGGACGAAATGGCCGTCCAGTGCTTCCAGGTTTTCAATGGTTATTTAACATTAATCGGTTCATTATCTCAATCAGAATAAAAATAATTTCAGCAAATTCTGAAACGTACCTAAAGTAGTCAAATATCCAATGGAAAAGTGCATAAGTCTTATAATCCCTTGGAGTGCAGATCAACTTCCAACTTGCCTAAACACAATTCTGCTCTATGCAACTACATTTTCATATCTTCTTTGTGTCATGCATTAAAATATACATTTTAAGCTAACATAAATACAATTATTGGGTTGACATTTGTTTTACAAATCACAGTGTTTTTTTTTCCTTTTCTTACGGGATTCAAAGTCGAATCAATGTTTAGAAATTAAAAATGATATATTCTACCATATCTTGAGAATTATAAGCTAGCAGTGGAATCCAGGACGCACGTTACGTCCTATTTCGAACTAGTCAGCTGGATATACCTCCATTCTAGAGTTTATGTTCACTCTAGGACTCAAACCCAGTACCGTTCGCCTAAAAACGCCATCACATTATCCACGTAGTTACTGAGTCCTAATAGCCTCTCACTTGTGCAATGGGATGAAGTTTTAAATTCACTTGGTATTGTTTTACTTCAATCTTCCCATTGATGTTTATATCTTGAGAACTTTACATTAGTATCAGAAGGGGTTTTGTGAAGATTGTAGTAATTTCAGTAGTTGAGATCATGAGTCAATTGACTCATAAGTAATTGAAGGATCATTTTTTGTGGCAGAAATCAATCCTTAAGCAAAAATGTTAAATACCTTATTAACATAATAATAATTTAGAAGATTAGTTTTAGATAAATTACCAATTTTGTTTTGAAAAAATAACTTTTTTGTAAGTATGTAATGTCGTGATCTTTATTGATTTACCGACTGATGAAGTTCGGAAATTTTTATAACTTGTAGTCTTGTGCTCCTATCAATATATGACATAATGGTATCGCTAATTAGAAAACAGTGACTTATCTACCAGACTAATAACACATCAAAACCATACGAGCAGTTCAGAGTCTTTATCAGTCTTTCTTCTAGCCTAGCCTTGCCTGTTAAGTCCAGAACACCAATGTCAGCCTTCACGATATGAATCATGTATTTCAAACATCACACCATAAAATAGAAGACAACATTTGTACAACATCTAACCAAAAATGGCTGTCGATGTGGGAGACTGTAATTAATAGACTAGGGATAACTCAAGAACGGTATGTCCTATAATAATAATAATAATAATAATAATCTAGGGGTCAAAATAAAGCTTATAATACGAGGAACATGGATATGCATAGTTTAGCTACTTAACAATTATGCAATAAGAATGTATGTATCGTATTGGTCCGTAAATAGTTCCCAAACGTTACCATCCATAATTCTTGCCGGGATATAACAGAGATATGTATATTATACCATATATATATATATATATATATATATATATATATATATATATATATATAGCTGGAAATAAAATAGCATTATATAGTAAAAACCTCTATATGATCAGACAAGTAACAAACACTGTTTAGATTGATCTGTACAAGATGTTGGAAAACTAGATACCTCAAATCACAATGACTTAATCATTTTTTCACATTTTTTTAATATTCTGACCTCCTTACAAGTCTTTATCTACTTATTATGATAACTGAAACAACTAATCAGAAATTTATAAAGCCTCCTTTATATAATTAATTGATTACTCTCTTAATGAATATATATATATATATATGACATTTAAGTAGACAAGTAATTATTTATTTTATTGTTTCTTTCAAAATATTTTCATATATTCATGATTTATAGGTTAATGATGTTTTTTTATTATTTTCCATCGAAAAAAAGAAAAAAACAGAAATCACCACGTGACCTTGAACAAGTTGTTTCCATCATTAATTCCCATCCTTTTTCTTTCACTCATATATATATATATATATATATATATATATATATATATATATATATATATATATATTACTTTTATTTTGTTTTAATATTAAGATGAATATTCAAATTCACATGGAAAAAATCATTGTCTCACTAGTTCAACACAACCATTAATGTGGTTGGGTACAGAAGAAGGAAGGTATGTATTCATATTTCATAAATATTATATAATACACTTTATTTATAATCAATTTATTACTCTCAAAAAATAGAGAGGTTATATGATTTTAGAAAAAGATGTGGATATGTCGTTCAATTTCGTGAATTAATTGAAGTTGGACATTAACACTGTTGGGTGCCGTCCAGCTCAGTGGTTTAAAGGTTAAGCATTCACTTGTGAGACTGATAGATTCTGGGTTCGAATCTCTCGATGCGTGATTGTGGATGCAAACTGCTCAGGAGTCTCACAATAGGACGAAGTGGCCGTTCAGTGCTTCAAAGTTTTCCATGGTGATCTAGCTTCAATTGACTCATGATTTCTACCATTGAGATTATATATATATATATATATATATATATATATATATATATATATATATGCAAGAACAGGTCAGAGGTTATTTGGTGTTAGAAACAAGAAGAGAACTAATTATATAAAAATGCTATTCAAGTGTATTTCAGAAATAGGTATTTTGTCATCTTCAATAACTTTTATGCTCAAGCACTATAAGTCAAATTTGTGTAATACATTTACTTAGAATGGATTTTTGTGGAGATTGTAGTTACTATCTCAGTGCTTTCAGTTTTTCCATGATGGTCTAGCTTCAATAGATTCATGATCTCAGTAATTAAAATTACTATAATATACACAAAAACCTTTGTGATAATAAATTGTTAAAGTACTTATATTCAACTCATTTCAGATACTTAAAAGTTTCCATATGTCGATTTAACCGAAATAGTTAGGTCTCATAACATGAAAATTCTGTTCAGAGATTCCGACCAATGCCCTCCATCTGTCTAATAGTAGTGTGAAGGGTGAACAATTTATTTAGTACCAGAAATGTTTCCATGTCAATGGAGTGAACTTCTTTTCGTATTCTCTTTTTATAGTATTTTTATGTTCTACGCAACTGATAATTTGAAGACAAGTAGACAACGTCAGAAAATTAGTTTATCACATGGAATTAATAATATATTGCATTTTGATGTGCATATATTTGTTGCTTGTGCAAACGGTGATCTTATTGTGTACAAACGTAACTCAGGTATGTCATTTATCAGCTAGATCTTTGAATTCTTAACTGTTGTTCAAGTTTTCATAAATAAAAATGGTGACACTGTAATTTATGGACGACGCTTGAGCGACGCTAAAATGACCTTGAGAATGCCCGCCTACAGTCTAGGGTTAGAGGAGGGTTTTAAATCAGTGTATAGAATAAGGATTATGGTTTAAAGTTGATGGTTAGGGTTAGGAGTTAGACTTAGGTTCTTCATCACCAATTGACATCAGCTAAAATGCTAAAACTCTATCTAGCCAAACGGATGAGTGAATTTTACGCCGAAATCCGAGACCTGTTATCGTACATCTGATCAGTTCGTTCAAAAATTATAGTGTCGTCGTCAATGTTTTTTACATATGACTGATTAGGTTAGTAATTTATGTGTATCAGGCTGTTTTTTCTTCAGTGATCTCTGGTTACTCGAAAGTAACTGGTAATGTAGAAGTAAATTGTTTTTACGAATGTGGATTGAGTAAAAAAAATTACCTGAATTGATTTGAATAATGTGGCTTAGTGTTGACTACTCACAAACACTAATTTGTTAAGGCGAAGTTCCTAATAAGCAGATATAAAAGAAAGAACAATCAGCTGTCTAGAAGAATTATATAATATGAGAGATATTCAACATGGTAAAAAATCATTTCACAATAATTGATGTTGGATTTGAATCCTGTATGTCGTTCATCAAACACTAAAAATATACATCTGTTTATCAGTTCTAATTTAAACTGACCGTTTTCGTAAATCCAAACTGAAATCACATTCACAATTACAACTTCAACACATAAATTGATCAAATTTTCGGTGAGATTATTTGACACTATATGTATTAGAAATTATCGAAATTCGAAATATTACACAGGAATGAAAATCCTTATGTTTTAAATTTCAGTTAGTAGTGGTCAAAATCGTTTGCTCCAGTGTTGAGAGCTAGCTTGATTATCTTCAGCAGGGCGCACCCACAATCCCGCTCGTGGGATTCGAACCCGGGACCTTCGGTCTCGCGCGCGTACGCCTAACCTCTAGACTACTGAGCCGACATCCAACATCTCATACCATGACAAAACCACTGTCCAGTGCTTCCAGGTTTTCAATGGTGGTTTAACATCAATCAATTCATGATTTTATTCAAAAACCTACCAATCTCTACAACCCCATACTGGCTATATTGTATACTTTGCATACCATAAACGCCTAAATGAATAGAACCACAATACTAGTAAATATTGATCATGTTTCAAATTTAACTAAGGATTATTAATTATTTTAAAGACTATGTTCTTTTGATCAATTATTTTGAGTACAAAAAACTTGTAACAATTTTCTTTTCTTTTATATTTTCTGAACTTCAAATTATCAATCAGATGGCTTGTGGGACGTTGATAAACCGATACATGTGAAATTACAGCCTAATTCTAATGAACCAGTTATTGTAAAACGTATGTTAGTTGTTGCCGGTAAAATATGGTGTGCAGCGCATCGTTCAATATTTATTTTAAATCCAGGAACACTTACTCCAGAAGTTAGTCAATTCGTTCGTTTGCTGGTGTTTTTATTCAATATTTAGTATTTGTTTAAATTACTGATAAAGTATTAGTTTAAATAGGACCTGTCAGTACATAGTAGTGGACTTTTGTTCTTTGAACTGGATGGTTTGATCATGAAGCTTTCATCGTTCTTCTGAACAACGTCATCAGCACAAACTTCAGGTAGAAGTGAAATGTTTGAATTTCTCTACATGTGGCTCGAATTCGAGCACTTAACTTCTACCTGAAGTTTGTGTTGATGATGTCGTTCAGAAGAACGACGAAAGCTCCACGATCAAAGCATCCAGTTCAGAGAACAAAGTCCATCAAAATTACCCACTTGAACTACAAATCTTCTCCACCATCTTTCAGTACAGTTGACTTATTAATGAATAAAATTTTGGCAGGTATGTAGATGGTTTTAAAATCCCCACTATCTCAATATTCATATTGTGAAGATATTCAAATTTATTACATAAATCTATCTATACAATACTAAACAATTATCACTGTAATAAAATCTGATATAAATGATCAAACTTAGTTAAATAGCTAAGCTCTTTTGCAACTCAGTCAGTCACTCAGTCAGCTGCAACGTAGGACCAGGCACATATATGCATCGGTCCAAGTTTGAGACAATTGATTGATATTTTGCAAATTAACTATTTACTGTATGGTTATCAGATTTTAGTGAGATATTCTGTAATCGCATGTTGAGATAATATTCGGTTGTCCCCACTCGTATTCTTGTTCACTACAGTTGTACTGATAGATAAAAATGAATCATTTATACTTTTCGTTCTAATTGTCAAAGGCCTATAATTTTTGCAAAGTATTTGTGTCGGCCTAGTTTGGAATTCTTCAGTAGTGAAACGTGAAAACTTTAACCAATGTTAATGATAAAGAAATGTTTTAATGATTATGAAATAACACTTAAACAAGTTGCATACATGGGTATGCTAACATTTGATGTGTATCTATTATTGTACGTTTATTTAAGTAGACATAAAGGATCATCATTTATTCACTAACTTTTACCCCTATCTTTTTTATTGGCTTATTTTGCAGTCAATTTATTACTGATTTATTTTACTTGCAATCTTTTATTTTGTTAATTCTTTTTCGTTTTTATTAACAAAAATACATTAGCTTTCATTCCCATTGAATGGCAACTATGCAGATCCACGTGGAATACAATTGATGGCTTATGGAAAACAAACTGTATGGTTAGCAACAGAAAATAGTTCACGTATTAGTTTATATCATGCTACAACAGGTGAATTTTTAATGGAGATTGATTTAAAGCCTATTGTACTTCAAAGGTTACAAGGTGAGATTTATGCTATCAATGCCTTGTTTGTTTCTTTTTTTTTGAAGTGTGTCAAAAAAGATCACATAAAAGGGATTAACTACCGAAAGGAAAAAAAGTATGCCATGTTATTTTCTCAAATGTCATATCGACATGTGTGCATAGATAATGGTAGTGTACTTTTTTATTGTTTTCATTACTTTTTGCAGTCTAGCATTAAGTGAAAATCAAATGTTTCGTTTTTTTATCAACTATAAAATATAAAACGATGTATGGATTGAAAGAATTCACTTAAAGTTACTTATTGACCTACACCCGTTACCCCCTATGGAGGAGCATAGGCTGACCACCAGAATTCTCCATACAACTCTGGGTTGGACAATCCTTTCCAGTTGCTATTCATTCTATTGATTCCTGCCTGTAATTCTCGACGCATTGTGTTCTTTGGTCTTCCTCTTTTCAGTTTAACTTCAGGATTCTAAGTTAGCGCTTATTTCGTGATGTAGTTTGGTGATCTCTGTAATGTATGTCCTATCCATTTCCATCATCTTTTCCTAATTTCTTCTTCACTTGGAAGTTGGTTCGTTCTCTCCCATAGTAGTTTGTTGCTGATGACATCCGACCAACGAACATTCAGTATCTTACGTAGACAATTGTTTATAAATACTTAAACTTGGAGTTACTCCCAATTCATTTTACTTCTGTGTTTGCAATCAAAACTGATCATTACTTTCTCATTATTACTTACTCTATATCGAATAAATATGCTTTTTTAGAAAAAGATTTCTATTTTAACATTTATTTATGTCAGATCAATGAAACTTCATTTTATTAACAGATTCTCTACTCAACATGATAACTGTTTCGTACATTTTTAAAGATCATCGCTAAGCAATTAAAACAGGATATTTTCTAATATACTTAATCTATCATCTAACTACTTACAAAATGTTAGGTAAATAAGTAATAAACAGTATGAGTATGTGTTTGAATTAACTCGTTGTTAAAATTAGATCACCTTTAGTTGACGTAGGTGTATTCCTTGTTGATTGCATCCATTTGGTTATTTTTGTCCCATGTTTCTGAAATGGATAGATTATGGCTAACAATGAGATCAAGGAAGTATGTTTCCTTTCGTTTGGAACTTGTTAGATAAACTTACCTGGATCCTAATGTTGCATGTCACACTGAGACTCAACATCAGTACATTTAGCTTCAAACACCGTGTTATATACTGAGCTACTGAGTTTAAATAATTATCTACTTGTTTAATATGTATGATATTTATAATATTGTCATGAAGGGTTTGAATTAGCTTGTTATTCAGGACTACTTCTTGAACAAGCTATTGGTTATTTAGACTTCGAAGTTATGTTGACATAATATTAACATTTATATCGACAGGTGCTAGGTTCTAGGCTCGCTGCGAACATTGATACTGCTATACAGATGTATATCTAGCTAACTCGATGCTGATAGAAGTTAACATGATTCATAAATTCCAATGTTAGCAAAACACACCAGCAAATACTTTCTAACTCTGATAAACTCAATAAATTCTTCATTGCGGTGAATATTCTGATTGAAATAGTATCTGATTTCTTCATATAACAAAATTCGATATCAAATCTTGCAACTTTCGGAAACTCCATGTAACTTATATTCGAAAAGAAATAGATCTTAGAGTTCATTTAAATACTCTCACCTTCGAAATATAATGCTATTTTGTATTTTACATATCATTCCTTTTTAATGAGTAGATATTACAGTCTCTTTAGGTTGAGATACGTTCCAGAGCTTTTTAATGTCATAATGTAACAATATATTTTTTACAGGTGAGAAGTCGTAATCAAGGAATATCTTTAGTGAACAAGACAGTGAATTTTATCTTAATTGATTGGTAGATTTATTGACATTGAATTGACAAATTTTTAATGCAACCCTAAAGTATTCTAATCTGGTGAAAACCAGTATATTAAAAGAGAATTTGATGTATCTATTTCAGATTAAAAACTAAGTGCAGTTACACATATAGAATAGGTTATATTCATTAAGCACCAACTTTAATTAGGTTTGTTTCAATAGAAATGAAGATCTCATTCTTTGACTAATAACCAAGCTTTAGTGATGAACTTAATCCAAAATGAGGATCTATAACATTAGTTCCATGCGAAACAGGCATTAGTAATTGCTTTGTAAAATCATTGTAAACGTTTATAACACGCAATAGAATTCACCTTACATTTTAGTGAACATCATGGGCTAATCTCATTCAAACAACCATTAAAAAAGGGAGTTTTAAATATCTATTTCATCTGTTTATAGGACTCCTCAGTGGTGTGCATCTACGACATCATCAGGGATCAAATCCAAAAACCTTTGGTCTTGGGCTGCATGCTTAACCTTTAAACTACTAAGGAAATATCCAATGGTCTACATGCCTAGTCCCAATCAATTCATGATGGTCACCAATCATTTTTAAATGTCAATCTAGTGCGACTGCCTCATACCAGATATGGTTTAACCCTGGCTATATATATTCATGTTAACAAGAAAAACATTTTAGTTGTGCAGTAATGTTTAAATGGTCTTAGGGAATCTTAAATAAGTTGCACCAATCTTTAATTAATAACGGGAAATCTAAATGATGTTAATTTAGTGCTCTAATAACTGGCGTTCGGAAAATTCGATTTTATGATTCAGAGTGGGTTAAATTAACAATAGTATTTAGATAACGAGTTAAATTTAATATAAACATTTTGACATTTTTTTACAATGTGCCTGTCCTTAGCTAAATGTACCTTATTTCACTGAACTTATCCATCTTTTTAGTTCAGTTATCAGAAGAAGTCTCAGTGTATTCATGAACTCATTCATTTCTTCTTGTCACCTACTATAGTTAAATATTAAGGAAGATGTTTAACGTTAGCTTTACATAACTGAATGAAAAATCAAGCGATAACCCTGATCCCCTGACTTACACTGAAGAGGAGAAACCAACACGTTTATAATTCGTGATTAAGGCAACTTAAACTGACAGATTACATCTTTCATAAAGCGATGATAACTAATGTTGAAAGTAAGTTTAGGTTGTGGTAAAATAGAAAACTAGGTGCTATATACTAACTATATAGTACATTCTACGGACTTCCTATATCACTAAGTTACTATTCAACTCATTACTTCGCCTTAATTAAAAGTTATTTTACTTTACTTTCTTGTGGATGGTAGGTATTCAACAGTTCATTTCAACTTATTAACTCTCGATTCAAATTGTATGTTTCCACTCTAAATTCCGTAAATACAAATTGCTTAAATCTACTTTTTATTAGACTGTGATGAAATTATCATGAGACATAAAGAAGCTTGTCTAAGAATCACTTGTTTAACAGTATGTAAAGATTTATTGTGGGCTGGAACGAGTGCAGGAGTTATTGTCACTGTAGCAATACCAAAACTTGGTACAGGACCTACACACGAGAACATTAAACAACCTCAGTTAGAGAGTAAGTTGGATGATTAATTTTTAGTTCAAATTTATATTTGTGTGTGTTTAATGTTGAAATAAGTGCTTTTTGCGGAGAGATACAGTAAATGCTTTTTCTGATCAGAAATTATGAATTATCATTTAGGTTATTACTTTTACTTTACTTACGCCTGTTACTCCTCGTGAAGGAGCATAGGCCGCTCACCAGCATTCTCCATCCGACTTGCAAACTATCTAAAAGCTTAGTAAATCAGAATTACTTGATAACAGTTTTTTAAATCCCCAGTAGACATACGTAACGTATAAATCTAGGTAAGCTAAAATAAGAATGATTCCCTCTGATGACAATCATTAACAATCCTAGTTAGTTTTGGCTTTATTGAATTTGCAATTTATGTAACATTGGGTTCAAACACTGACTGGTTTGTATCTAGATTTACATGAGACATGAAGTTTATAGGTTATGCGCCGTTTCTATGCATTCCTAAGTAGTTACATGGTAGAATATTGGAATTTTAAAAGAAAGTTAAAACACAAAACTGTATTTCATTTACTAGTGAGATGTTTTAGCAGTGTATATTCACAAACATGTGTATAACCAAATTCATCATATTCAGCTGATATAAATTTATAGATAGCTTTTAAGTGGTTAATGGAAATCCAACATTTTGAATTTTTAACCTTAGTGAGTTTATGATGTAATTTGTGTTTAAAATTGATTATATTATAACTATAACACTAGTCCTGTGTGGTTTGCATAGACTACACATTAAGTTATTTACACCATCATATAATTTTAACAATCATGAAAGAAATAATTATTCCCAATCAACCAATAAAGGGGAAATAAAGGGAAAATGCTTCGGTAAAGAAAGGGGAAATAAAGGGGGAAACGCGCCAAAATGTCGCCTTTTTCGCCTGTCCGCGGGAAATAATGCGGATTTCCCCCTTTTTGTCGCCTTGTCGCTAAATTGTCTACTTTTCGCCTAAATTTCCGCAAATTTGCTTTTTATAAAGGTACTTTATTAAGAATATTTTAGTTTGAAGGAAATACTCATCACAAAATGATCTTAGTTGTCCAATGTTCCTTGGTTTCCATTGATAATCCATATGAGATCAATCAATTGTATTAAATTGAACCACATTCTAAGTTTGTAACACTTTTACACTTTATCTTACTTTTCTCAGCTTTATCATATGGACATATTGGACAAGTTAGATTCCTTGTAACCTTGGATAACATAGCAGATGATGAAAATTCAATAACATGTAAAAATGAAAAAATAAATACATCCAATCAATCAATATACATATCAAATTCAGCAATAACACCATTTTCTGATAAAGTGACATCATCGGATAGTAACGAAACAAACACATCATCACATTTAGTTAGTTCTAGTCGAACAAATGATCTTAGTCAGTCTGGTCAATTATCTAGACATCATTTTAGTGGTAGTCGTAGATCATCAATAAATCCATGTACTACTATTAATACAAAAATGAAAGTAATTAGCGGTGGTGAAGGACGTGAAGAATTTAGTAAAAAAGATTTTACAACATTGGGAATATATGATAATAATCTTTGTTGTACTATTGGTGATGATGACAGTGACAACTATGTTCTTATTTGGGATGTGAAATAATTATTCATATTATATAACATATAGAAAACAATAATATTTTTAAAGAGATAATTCCTATTCCATGACTGTATGGTAAGTTTTTTCTAGAAGCTCATATTCGAAAAACACTTCTTTCAAATGAAAACAAATAGAACTACTGTAAATTATCATCCATAGTAGACATTTATAAAACCTATTCATTGTTTTACAGAATATATATATATATGTCTCCAAAACTCATGTATACTAACCGAATATCCCATTTTTTCTAATTAAATCTTAAATCGTACATTTTTCTTCTCTTCATCTTAGTATCTGAACAATAATAAACATCATGATATCCAAACTAGCCATCATAAACAATAATAAGTTAACTGTCACGAAGTATATCGTTTAATACAATAGACATCAGTAGTAAGTGAAATAAATGTTGAAGAAAGAAGGTGAGACTTTAATCTATAGACGGCCTTTGAGCGACGCTGAAGTGACCTTGAGAGTGGACACCTACTGATTAAGTTTAAGTGAGAGTTATAAATCATTTAGAATAATGATGGTTAAACTTAAGAATTAGATTTAGAGTTTTCATCACCAATTGACATCATCTATAATGTTAAAACTATATTTAGCCAAATGTATGAATGAGTTTCGCGCCAAAATTCATGACTCGTTATCTTATATCTGATTGATTCGTTCATAAATTGTAGTCTCTCCAACGACTTACACTCATGTATATACATATGGTTCTTTATTTTCTTTCATCATTGTAGTGAATGTTAATTTTCATGTATGTACATTGATAAAATATTCATAACTCTATGACGACAATGAATCAACATTCAAATAGCTGAATTCATACTTACATAAAATAAAATAGATTGATCAGTAGATAAAAATATATTTGTAGCTAGTACTATGAGAAAAGATTTTCATTTTAGTTTCTTGCTCTAAATTTAAATAAGTTCATAATCCGACAGAATCAGATAATTAATGTCCTTAGAAAAAAAAACCTAGAAGGAATACAATATAATTTGAACAGAATAATTTACTTGACCATATTAAGGGAATTCGAATTAATGTACTAACTAAGAATTCCTGAAATAGAGTGACTTGAGGCAGGTAGAACTAGATGTGTATATGTGAAAGTAGTATATTTTGCAATTCGTAATAAGTGCTCAATCAAGTATAAAGGAATCATTAGTTCGTGCAAATGACACAACAACTACAGCTTAAATGGGAATCCGAATTTCTGTAATCGATTGTACTTCTCCTTAGGTTCATCATGTGTGACTTTCTGATTGTGTATTGGATTTAAACTCCGTATGATGTAGAATGTACTCAATAGAATGGGCTAACCTGGGTCCTTATAAAGAACTCGGTTCCTCTGGCTGGTTTCCATATGAACCAAAGATTTATTGACATGTTTTGGTGGACCTTTCGTAGATTATGGAAGAGCATTTTGTGCAAAGATATTTGTTTAAGTAATTTCATTGCTTCTTTTGTGTACAGTTTGATAATTCTGAACTGAAAGACTTTATCTGTTATCCTCTCCGGGTCTATGAATTTTACGGCAACAGTAGAATTGACGTTTGTTTTCAAGATCTTGATATTTCTTGCTTGAACATCAGAATGAGAGAATTTCGGAGTCGTGCATAATTCTTCGCACTTTGATTCTACAGTTAAAAGATCATCAAACATCAGAAGCGTCTTCAGTGGTCAATAAGGAAAACATTTTAGTGGCTATTTATCTGACTCTAATGAGATCGTTTGCTGATAGTCATTCAAATGTACATCCCAGTTATCCTTATATATTTTTAACGACTTAATCAGCGTAAGTGAATAAATGAATTAAATAAGACAAATAAGTGAATGGATTTTGGATAAATATATTTCATTCACTCAGTGATTTGAACAGACAATCAGGGAAACAAAATGAAGAGGAAAGGCGAAACTGGATAAGCGAAGACGAGTAAGCCAATTCATTCCCGTCAAACTCGATTAAACCTCTGACCATTCGATACAGAAGTATAACCGTGAGGAAGAAGAATCCCATCTAATGATTGTAGGTTGGTTACGGTTTATTTAGTTATTGAAAGATTTTCTAGACCTCGTTATTGATTAACTGTGACAGAACTTAGTAATACTATTAATACATGTGAACTGTTATCAAAGAATTCATTCAATACGTGAAAACACCGCCAGATAGAAAGCTGATGTTAGTTGGTTGAACGTGGGTGCATTCATGAGAAATATGCTCTAGACTCAATGTTATAAGGTGCTTTGAACTCCTCATTTATATTCATGCATACTGGTTGATTATGTATAAAAGGTAGTTGAAAGTATCGCGCCCCGGATAGCTCAGTGGTAACGTCCCTGACTATGAAGCTGGGTGACACAGGATCGAATCCGCCAAGGAGCACCAGTTCCCTCAATGATTACAGGTAAACCTTGCTGACGAGTGCCAAGCAGCACGAAACCCGAGTCCAGGGTTTCCTGTCGATTACCTCCAACCACCATCCAGTATCAAATTTTGGGATAATATAGACATCGACTTCTATGAACATATGTGATTATAAGATTTTGAAATCAAATAAGTTTTTGAGTCGCACTATGATTTTGGCTAATTAAATCTCTACAATATTGAAGTGGTTAAACAACCCGTAAAATAAATAGTTCCGTAAATCTTTAACATTTGATATTGACCTGATTAGTTGTACTTGACACATCTAGCTGAAGGTGCTCAGTCGCGCATTCTCATCAGATCACAAGTAAGTCGTGATACACATCTTTTACAACGGTTAGCCAGCTTAGAACATACGCTTCTCTACATATCAATAGTCTTCAACAATTTCATTTCTGCCTTCTGATTTGACTAGGATGACACACTTCGATTATAAAGGTGTTACGTGTAAAAGCGTTGTCGAACTCTGGATACCTGCGGCGTCTTTATATGTTTGAGCCAAATCTCGGAATGGCAACTTTTTTCACGTGTTTAAGGTTTCTTTCGACTTGTTAGTTTATTACCTACTTACTTACTACATACAGTGAGACTATCTTCACGTTCGTATTAGAGATTCTAACTTGATGTTTGTTGACAGTTGTTTTGAGTTTCATATGTTCTTCAACTGAAAGAATTCTGTTCTAACACTTTTCCTACCCTCGCCTTTATATCTCCATGAGATTCTACACGTTCATGGATAATGCTGTCCAGGTACGTGAAGCTTTCCACATCTTCTAGAGCTTCTCCATCAAGTGTGATTGGGTTGGTGTTCGCCATGTTGTGCATGAGGATCTTTCTTTTTCCTTTGCGTATGTTGCGGCCTGCTGATACATAAACTCCTGCCATATTGTTTGCCCTGACCTGCATTTGTTGATGTGTATGGGATAGAAGAGCCAGGTCACCTGAGAAGTACAAATCATCTAGTTGCATCCAACCTTTCCACTTTATTTCGTGCTTTACCTCTGATGTCGAAGACTTCATAATCCAGTCAACCACCAAGAGAAACAGAAGGGGTTAGAGTAGGCAGCCTTGTCTGACGACGGTCCTTGCTTGGGATGCGTCTTGCAACAAAAGTGTAGAGATAATGGATACTGTACAAAAATATAGATGCACAAAATCCATAGGACTTTAATTGTCAATAAAGGATGTGTTTGAGTTTTTAGTTTCATTATCCACAATTATAAAAAGTGATCAATGATCCCAAATACGATATAATATAACTCGGAATAATTACGCGACTGAAATATAAATGTAGATATCAAACATATAAAGGATCTATTAATGCGGCAGTTGACGAAGTGGGAACGAGAATCATGTGAGCCACAGTGCATTTATAAACGGTAATCAAAGTGTAATGGAGGCCGAGGAAAGATCCTTAATGGAAGTTCAGGGTGGTACAGATTTTTACGGATCTTGAAAATATATGTGAAATTGTAGACCATGTGAATAATGACAAAATTAACTTACAAAATGGGTCTATGTTAACATTTTCACAAGCTGATGTCTTCCGTCGTAATAATTCCGTATGATGTTGACAATTTCCTCAGGTTCATCATAGTGTCAAAGGACATTTACATTGAGTAATCCTATTCACACTGTCCAATGCATTTTCATGATCAAGAGAGTTGATGTATAGTGACACATTTTTCTCGACTGATTGTTCATGACCGATCCTCAAAGAATCCAGTCTGTTGATCTCGAAGTCGGAGGTCTACTGAATCTTTCATCCGGTTCAGCAACACTCCAATGAAAAAATTTTCTGGTACTGATAATAGTGTGATTTCTCCGTATTTCGTCTGACGAATCACTACGTGAAAATTTCAAACGTTCATCATTGCACTTTACCCACCTCATCCACAAATATCACTATCACCGCCTAACGCTTCATGTGGAGACCTCTCCATCACTTCGTGCAGTATGCCAGTGATAAAGCTAGTTGATATAAAAACACAATACCTACGTATACTGGAAAGTCAGCTAAGTGTACCCGTTAGCATAATTCGCTAAAACCAAAATCCAAAATTCCAAAAATAGTATATTTCATACACAACAAAATACTGACCGCCGTAGAACCAACATCCGACAAATGCGAAACTCTCTTGCTGAGATTAACATTACCATTAACCAATTACAGCCCCTTACATGTACATGCGCCCTTAACAATGAAGAAAACCTTGAATTATCGCCAATCTGAATGTATCTTGGAGTTTGCAGTTAAAGAACTCACAGAAAGAGTAATGTCTCCCCATAAAGCAAATTCGTATAATCTCCCTGACTACACACTTCATGTTGATTCAGACCAGTTTTAAGAAACCAGCCAAGTTTCGTCGTGTTTGTTGATCATCTTAATTATGGCGCTCGTGTCATCCGGGTGTAACAAGAAAAAATGAATATTATTAGGGTCTTCGGCGAGACTCTAATTTAGGGACGACCTTTGAACGAATTTTAAGTGACCTTGAGAATATTAGACAATCAGAAGACAGCTAGTATAACGTAGAAATATATTAGAAGAAACTAATGGATTACAGTGAATATACTTCTTTTACATGATTTAAAATCTTATCAAGGTTTGCTTAAGTTTCAGATGTTTTGAAATCATATTGCATACGGTATAAAAAGTCATAAATTCCAAGTACCTGTCGAGTATATTCGCGGGAATGCTACTTACACAATCCTACTTTATACTACGTCCCCTGTTGTATTTTCACTTTCACACTGCCGTTTCATCTGTCTGCACGATACATCCTACTCCTCCGAATGATTGGTGTATACGTGTTATTTTAGTTGCACATATGTCACGGCAGTACTTATACCACAGGACTGCTGAGGTTTTATAAACAACTGCAAACGCCGCAGTCAGTGTTACTGGTGTATTTATTATCCAATTTGCAACTATTATCATAATCTGATTCAGTTTCAGTAGTAATCGAGCAAAGAAAGTCCTCGTTTTAGCAGACTTTCTCCCCCAACATGAAGGACAACAAAATATAAT